GGACAAGAATCTAATCCATTGTCATTGCAAGTCATTAGAGACCTTGATAACTTGCTCTACCCATAGCGGGTAAGCTGTAAAAGAGTTTTGAAAAGCGTTATATAAATATATTATGCATGTGAAATTCAGCCAAAATGGACCCTTAGGACAAAATTAAAGGAAGAAAAATGGGAGAAACTATAGAGGGTAACATAGAATCTCAAGGGTACCTGTGGAGGGTGGAGGACACAATGTGGCTGGGGAGCCAGTCTCTGGACCCCTTTCCATCCACCTCATTTCATGTAGCTTTTTAACAAAGATGAATCAGATATGGGCCCAGCCCTCAAGGAGGTTAAAATGTAAGTGGGAAAGTGTCCTGACCCTCTTCTCCCTCATTTACCACCTTTCTTCGAACTTACCTTTGAGTAAGTGTAATTGCACCAATTTGCTGACCCTAATTAGTGAGAATGAACAGAGAAAATGACCTTGCCAAACAACAGTTCTGCCTTATTCCCACTTTAGGACTGACTTCTGGACTGACTTTCTCATATCCTGGCTTTTTCCTTGGCCCAGTCTGAAGCTCAAAGTATCACCTTGCTTTTTTCTTTTTGTTAATTACCATCCATTGAGTGCATATTATACGCAATGATAATGCTAAATGTTTTACATATACTTTTACATTAAATCTTCATAAAGCCACTCTGAGTTAGGTATTATTGCATCCGTTTTGCAGATGCAGATCTGAGGCTTGGGTTAAGTTATTTGATAAATTTGAACTCCAAGTCTTTCTGACTGTAGATCCCAAGCTGGTGATACTTGTGGTATTCTGCCTTTATACTACTCACCATTTGCTTCTCACAAACCCAATGCAAACTGCTTAGCATATGTTTCATGTTTTAGGGCATGCAGGGGTGTATACAATTTCAGGGTGGGAAATACTTAAAAAATAGGCTGTATCTTCTTTCTGAGCTAGGATTTGTGTGCTAACGTTTAAAAGTAGAAAAATCCTTTTACATACAACTTGAAATGATAGTGTTAAAAAAACTTCCTTAATCATGTAACATTATCATAAACAGCACAGAAATTTCTATTTTTTGTTACATTACACATTAAATAACTGCATTGTCTCTTTAGTATAAAATTACTCTTTTTCCTTTTTTTATTCACCCTGTCTACTAGCTCCTACTCCTTGTATTACAGATTTTAACTTGTTTGGTTTTGAGCAATATTTTTCAATTCATCTTTTAAAATGTTATTTATTTATTATATAAGTATAAACACCTTCATCAGGGAAAATTAGACCTAATAGAAAAGCAAAAATAAGGAAAAGGGCACCCATAATTCCACCGGCCTCCTTTAGCTATTGTAAACATTTGGAGTAGAACTTTCCAGATTTTTCCTTGATGAAAATCTACTTACGTAAATAGGTTTTTTTGTTTGCAAAAACAGGATCATTCCATTTTGTCGCTTGCCTTTTTTCACTCAACAATATATTAGCAGCATATATCCATGTCGAGAGATATATTTACATAATTGTTCATAATGACTGCATAGTATTTAACTTACGATTATACTGTAAAATATTCCGCCAAATTCTTCTTCTTGGTAGTCTAAGTTGTTTCTGTTAGGTTTTCTCCCTCAGTGTGCTCTAACTGTCCTAAGCACCATTACCATTCTGAGAAATTACTTTGGGTACATGCAAGAATCCCAAATTATTCTATAACTCCCACCTCACAACATCTTCTATGTAGAGCTAAAGAAATCACCTGGCCATGCACACTACCAGAGCTTTAAGAATGACAGTGTCTCCTCCGAAACCCAGAGGAAACACCATGGAGACAGACAGCAGAATATTTTTCAACATGACTTCTGCTGTCAAGGAGGAAGCCTTGTGAAGAAGAGAGAAGTTAATGAAGTGGAAAGATGAGGTTGGAGCCAGACAGTCTGGGACTTGAATCTGGCTTCTGTCACTCAGTAGCTGTGACCTTAGGTGAGTTATTTAACCTAAGTCTCTGTTTTTTGATGTTTAAAATAAGGATAATGTTTATTTCATAAAACTACTAGGAGAATTAGCAATACCATATGTCAGGAACCTAGCACAGTGCCTGATAACAATACTCAATGGAATGGAATGTTGTGCTCAAGAAATGGGAGGTGTAATACTAGATATTACCATTACCTTTACCTTAATATACAGAGCGTCAAGGACATACCACATTTTTAAAAATGCCATTATCATAAATGTTTTTAAGAACATTGAGAGAGCTGACTGATATGAACAGAAGAGTTACTTAGAATACTGTAACCAGAAATCACAATTCTTTGTAGTAGCTTCTGAGGAACACTGATTAATGGGATCACAATGTGGTTTGAAGTCATAGTGTACTTGTAGTGATAAATTTCAGATACAGGATAAGAGAAAGAACACCAAGCCTTTGACTTTGCCTTCACAAACTTCATAAAAGTATTTAATACCACCACTGTACCTGTGTTCCAGTAGTTACTAAATAAGGCTGGCTTGCAAAAATGATTATTGGATGACTTCCACAATGTCATAATCTGCCAATATGGATGTATTGTCCAGTAGATTAGGATTCCTTTTCAAGTTACCAAATACGGCCTCAGGGTTCTCTATCAAAGGTTCTCCAACCTCAATGGAGTACAACAGTTAAAGATCATTTCAAGTGAAGACATTAATGGGGGAAATTAGTAGCAAATAGAGTAGGGTTTTGAGTAGGCTCAGAAATGAGGTGACTCTTATTGAACAAAGTCTACAGATCATGAATTTTAGGCAGATTTGCAAATAAGGATAGCACATGCTCTGTAAATAGCAGCTGTCGCCACAAGCCAAAGGGCAATATTTACATAAATTGACGCAAGGTCTATGGACCAAGCATTGACCTTTCCAGCCAAACTTATTTGGTAGCAGTGTCAGCCATATCATCTTGAAAAGGAAGGATCGCATTATACATACATGGAAAATTGCCAGTGCACAAATATGTTCTGCCCCCACGTTAAATTCTAAATTATTTTTTTGGAACTTGGAGCACATGTTCCCACAGAAAAGGTGCTATAAAGGGATGCTGTAAAGGTAATGGTAATATCTAGTATACATCTACCATTTCTTGAGCACCCAGTATTGTATCAGGCACTGTGCTAGGTTCCTGACATATGGTATTGCTAATTCTCCCAGTAGTTTTATGAAATAAACATTATCCTTATTTTACACATCCCGGATTGTCTCACAGAAGTACATTTAGCCACCGTGTAAGTGAAATATTGTACATTGGCAATGAGAAATACAATGAAACAAAGCATCCTTGCAAGCAGGAACACATCCACACACAACAAATATTTCTTAAGCCTTTCTCCTTCGAACTCCCAGGCAATGAAAGGGGAATTCTATCCTCCCATAGCTGCAGTTTGGTGGGAAAGAAATCTTTCACTACCCTTGTCTGGAAGGATCCTTCTCAAGTCAGGTAGATGCATGCATTACAGCATCCTTCTCTTTAAAGTACTTCTTGAACTTTCCCACCCAACCTTTAATGACTGAGGAGATTAAACAGGTAGTGGGGAAGGAGTAGAATGTCTAAGTAACTGGAGGTCTCAATCTTTTATCTGAAGACACTTCAAGCTGTAATTCATTCCTTAATACATCTGCACATTTTACTAGAAAAACATCGCGTTTCAAATAATTAGCTAAATAACTTAATCCTACCCCACTTTTCAACTAAAGTTGATGCTCCAGAAATGTGAACCATTTTTATACTTATGAGTCTCTGTACCCACTGGATAGTACATTTGTGTACTTTAGGATGAGAAACAAGGGCACTAGGGTTTAATGAAAGTAAAATCAGAGCAGAGCTAGCACCACCAGCCTCTCCTTTCCTCTCTCAAGGCCTCCTTTAATCACCAGTGTCTTGGTCTTTGCCTCTTTTTCTCTGTTCAAGACCAGACCCTGGACAGGATCTCACACTCATTCACACTAAGGTGTAAGTGACCAATAATAGCTAAAATATCAAGACGTTTTTGCACAAGTATTTGCTCTGTTTAGGGAATTGTAGGTTTTGTGATTGTTGTTTGGTACACTATTTTCTTTATGTTTTGCTATATTTTGTCCCTAATAACTGATTTCAGTTATTAATCAAAAGAAATGGTGAGGAAAAATAGAAACGATACTTTTTAATTACATTGCATACTGTTACACACTTTACCAACTGCTTTTATGTCTAGCATCATGCATATTACTGGTGTGGAATTACTACTGAAGAGTAATGGGGCTACGAATAGCACACACGCACCAAAAAATCAAAGTAATTCAATCCAACTACTAATATTAGGTACCTACTGTGAATTGCCCTAGGTTCTTTGGGGACATTGACTTTTCCCCCAGGAGTTTTAAAATGCATTGGTGAAGGCAAAAGTCGCCCATTGGCCATCTGCGAGATTTCAGAGTTGAAAATCGAGCAAGTATACATAAAACCCAGGAGTCACGCTTTGCTTTCTAAGTGAATGTTTGCAGCTGCGATCGAGGTTCAAGGGGTGCTTCTCCTTCTACAGAATTTACGAAGGTGAGAAAAGCACTACCCATCGCCCCTGAGGGACCTGAGGAAGGGCAGTTCCCAGAGGGTTCTGGGCTTTGCAAATGGTGAGAAAAACCATCTACCATACACTTAGAATCAGAGGAAAAGTTCTTTGTGCAAGAAGGGGAGAGCGCCCCAAGGCCCAAGGTACAAAGAGCAGATTAAAGGGAAAAAGGATTCCTTCTGCACACATCTGCGAGGGGAGCCCAGGCTGACTGTTGGGGGCGTGTGGGAAAGGAGATTTTTTTTTTAAGGGGGCCGCAGGCTTCTGGGTTCCCGCCTCCACCTCTTGTCCACGCCCCACACTCAGGCAACAGTTGGTCGTGCGGGGCCGGCCCGGGCTCTGGATGGGGAGGGGGAGTCTCGCGATCGTTGAGGGGGGGTGGAGGAAGGGGGTAGGGCGACGGGGGGAGGCCATGACGTAGGGTGGGTGGACGGAAGTGGGGCAGGGTTGAGGGTTATTTAAAGAAGGGGGGGGCGAGCGAAGGGGCTGAAAGCGGAGTGATTCCCCACCCTTGTTCCATCTAGCTCTTTCCAGCGAAGCCACTGCCGCCGCCCAGGAGCCCTCGTCCCCTTACTCGTCCCCCTCCTCGTTCCCGCCCCAACGCCATGGAGCCGGACACCGCTGCAGTGGCAGCCACCGTGGCAGCCGCTGATGCGACCTCCACAATCGTGGTCCTAGAGGACGAGCAGCCAGGCCCGTCCACTTCTAAGGGGGAGGGAGCGGCCGGCGCCGCCACCGAAGACACCGTGGCCACGGAGAAGGGCGAGAAGAAGGAGGTAAATAGGAAGGGGGTGTGTGTGTGCTTCACAAATCCTGTGCCGGGCCCCTCCGAGGGGCCCAAATCCTGATCTTTCTCCACCGACAGGTAGCCGCGGCGCCCGGCAGCGATGGGGGCGACGGGCGCGCGGCGGTGGGGGCGGTGGAGCGGTGCAGCCTGCGCTCCCCTCCCCCTTTCCTTCTCCCTGCTTGAGGGCGGGGGCGGGGCCGGGGCGCGGGCGCGGCGGGGTGGAGGTACCTGGTATCCCATGCTCTGGGGTGGGGGCGCCCTCGACGGCCCCCGGCCCCCTTCGCATTCCCGGAACTGGGGGAACGGGGTGGGGGATGGGGCTGTGCAGGAAAATGCCTCCGCCTCTCCCTCTCCTTTCAGTCGCTCCCTCCCCCCGCTTCCCGTCGGCCTCTGCCTGGGAAATCTGGGCTCTTCAATCCCACACTCGCGCAAAAGAGATTTTGCTGGAGCTTATTTTATTAAATTTGAATTTCAAGGTGCGGGTGGTTGGGAGGCGGAGGACGGTAGGAAACACTTTTCTTTGATTTGCCCATATCGGCCTGATGAATGGTATGGGGAAAAAACCCTCATCCCTTGTTCGTTTGGTGCGGGCCTGCTAAAGCGGGGGTGTCACCCCGAGAAAACGAGCTCTTCGCGTCGTACTCCCACAATCCAAACCCCAAATTTGGGAACCGTGGACGCTGGTTTAGGAAAATTTCCAACGTGGGCGCCCTCACCCTCGCCTGCCCCGCCCCCAAGGGTATAGGGTTTCACTCCGGGGCCACCCAAATGGTCCCCCAGACTGGCCCCACGCCTTCCACGCTTCCGCCTCCCTCTCCTAGTGGGCGCTGCTGGCCCCTGAACACATGCAGGGTTTTTTTTCTTCAAATTTTTTTAACCCAGCGTCTCCAGGATGAGCTGCTGCTAACGTGCATAAGGGAACCACGCTGATACCTATTAAAGCCAAATCCAGAAAATAAGTATGATCTCCATAAGGCATATTTCGTATGGACCAAGACATGTAAATAAAAGTAGGAAATGCGTTGAAAAATTGAGATAAAAGATTAAGATGGGGCATAAGGATTTTTGTTGTATATTAAAACTAGAATGGATCGTTTATGGGTGGATTTTTTTTCCGTTTACGAGTAGACATATTGTAATTAAAAACGGTAGGTGATTAAAATTATACTTTAGCGATCTCAGGTGGCTTTGTCTGAATCATTGTATGATACTGTAAGACAAATGAAAAGCTTTTGAGGGAAATTCACACCTTTCACCGTGAATTAGAGTAATTTTAAATTCAGTTGCTTAAGTGACATGTTTTGCTGTTGCAAGGTTGACTAAACAGACAATTGCGGTACTAAGTGAAAACGTGGAAAACAGATCTATCCAGTACTTGGATCAGTAAGACAATATTGGTGATTAAAGCTGGGCCAGAAACCAAGCATCAGAATAAATCAAATGTTGGGAAATCCAGAAATGCAACTAGGCGCCTTCTATTCCCTAGCCTGGGCAAATGTAAGTGCTGAACACTTGTATGACAGTAAAGGTTTTTGAATTTTCAGGTTGTATATTTTTGAATTGTGAATCAGTGAAAATTGGGCATGTGTAAAAAACCTATACAATCTCTTGAGTTGATGCATATATATTCTTGAACTCCAGCCTCATCAGAAATTGCCCTAATAGTACTGCATTTGTCTACTCAGCATAGGAAAATGAGGTGCTTCCTGGCAGGGACTCCGGATATCTGAAGTTTGGTACTTTAGTCACTTTACATCTTTAATTTTCCTTTAACATCTAAATAGTACCAAAGCATCTATTTCACTTCTTCATTTGTGCTATTCCTTCAAATAAAGTAATTTGGTACTCTGCCTCTTCCAAATCGAAATACGTTGCACACTACCTTGACTCCTTAAATCGTATTCTAAAAGGGCATGTCCTTTTCCTCATGTCCATCAGTTATTGTACTCTGGCAGGGATACGAGGCATTCAAGATCTAAGAGGCTGTTTCCCCTCAATTAAGTAACCACCTCCCAGACACATTCAGTATTGTGTTCATTTTTAAATAATTTTTCAAGCTCCCTCCTCAATTGACAGGCTGTTAGCTATCACTTTTTAAACACTTCACCTACTTTAATCAGAAAAATTGTTTATGATCAAGGGCATAGATATAACAAAATCATGAAACCATTTAAAACAACTGTAAAATACAAAAATACAAGTGATGCAGCAAAGAGGTAAATAATTACACCTAAACACCAAGGAAAAGGGATGTTCCTGCAGTGGAACTCATGTTTTACTCCTGGGCTACTGCCATCCCTTCTTGCTGTTGACAGTGTGCTTTCTTCTCGCGGTCTTTCCCATGTCACTTGCTGCTTTTTTAATTCTCTGTAGTATAGAAAGCCAGATTATAAAATTTACTAGAATCGTATATCAAATAAAAGAAAATAAGCTCTAAATGAGAGCATTTTCATGATACATAAAGTGAGACAATATATTGACTTGTGACATTTCGCTACAGAAAAGAATTTTTGCTTACTTTCTGGTTCTCAAACTTCCTTGGTTTATCTGACAGTTGGATAACCTAACCCTGTGGAAATTGGAGTTGGTATTTTGGGTAATGAAAACGTCAAGAAAAAGGTCATGGTCTTTAAGATAGGGGATCTTGATGACCCTGTGCTGCATTCTCATGGCATCTAGTCTACCAGATGATAAAATCCGTAAGGAATTTATTGGAATATCTTAGTCACCTTTTATCTTTTCTGGTATGAGAAATGTATTTTTGAAAACATGTATGAAGGAGCAAGTTTAGAAAGTAGGTGTTTTAAAATTTGTTGTGGAAGATAGTGCCAATTAAGTAATTATCCACAGCTTTTAATAGCATGCTCAAGATTTTAATTAGCATACAATTAGATTTTTATGGTATTCTACTGCAAACTAAGCAAAATAAGGAGTAAAATGTTTTTCTAGTATTAAAGCTTTCATTTTCTACAAGTGAAATTTACAGGCCACATTATTAGATCCATACTTGTGTATATGAGGGGGAGTAATTTTTGCTACTTTGAAATTTGAAAACTAGACTCAATTTAGCTTTTCAAGGAATGATAAAGGTGCGATTTAATTACAATTTTCCTTTACTTACTGCTTTGAAAATAAAATAGGATTTATAGTGTATGTGACAGTTTAAAAGTGTGGGATTGAGGGGATTTTAGCAGTTTTCTGTTCTCATCCATCCAGGATTACATTCAAAACATCCCACGCGGATGACATCCATGAGATGCTGTAAATCAAGACTGCTGTTTTTTGGACTAAGACTGAAGAAGAATATCTGATCAGTGCTCCAAAGTAGAACCCTGACAAGACCAAATTCTGTTATCTTAGTTTGGATTTACTCAAAACAAATTTTAGTAAATGTTGGAAGACATATTTGTTGACTATTGGGAGCATATTTTTCTTACGTTTAAGATCACATTTTGTTGTTGATGTATGACCTCTAGGTTTTCAGGAACAAATTGACAAAAGCCATGAGTAAGTGGACATAATTTCTTTAGTTTTCACAAACAGATTTGTGTTTTGACTTGAGCAAAGTCTTTGTTAAAAGTCAAATAGTCTCAGGTTTGGTATTTTTTTAAGTGGCTCACTTAATTTTAATATTTTTAAGTGGCTGATTTATGTTAGTTTTCACTAAATTACAGCTTTTTAAATAACAAAGGTTAATAGTTCATAGCCCTGAGAAACTGCTTCTACAAAATATTTATATACTATAGTTTAAAATAGTTTTCTTTCCAGTTGGAGAAAATTCACATAAGCAAGAAGTTTCAAACTGCACTATTTCATTATTTTAAATATAAGTGATCACGTTGTGTTACATAAAAAAGTTTATATGTTCTAATTAGAATATGAAAACAAAAAAATAGTGTCTTTTCAGTAACAGAAACCAGTCTTTTCTTCTGAAAGTCTGGCTTTTTTCCATTACATAAAGAAGTGTTTCTGAGAATTAATATTTACTTTCCTTGAATTCTTCTGTTCATGGTTGATAATATTAGCATAGTCTATATTTTAAATCTCCTATTTAATGCTTATACATTTTCTTACAGTTTAAATTAAAAAACAGGTGAAAAGGCTCAGGGTTTCACCTCTTGGTTTTTATTTTAATTAGTATTATTTCTCTGGCTTTCACAATTCATTGGGTTTTTTTTGTTAGACCTCAGGTGCACAGACTGGATTAATCATAAGCCCTGCTTCATGACAAGCTCTCATCACTGGTTCATGTATGGCTCATGTTAATTTATTTAGTATTTAAATTGCCTTTTACTTCAAAGGAGAATGTTGACCACTTTTAATACCTTGCTTTACAATTTGATGATTTCTTATAAATTCTAGAAAAACGTTACTCCATTTCAACTCAAACTTGCTGCTAAAGCTTCTAAATCTGAAAAGGAAATGGACCCAGAATATGAAGAGAAAATGGTAAGTATATTCTAGGGTAGGATAGTGAATATGTAGCTGATTTCTATAGGGGAGATGTGAAAGGTTAAAATATACATGTGTATATATAATGGGTACAGAATCATAGATTTTAGAATTGGGAAGTAATTTAATATCTAATCCATTATAAATAGATTTATGTTGAATAAGTGAATCTCTTCATTTTTATATGAGGAAATAAAGGATCAGAGAAGCTATATGGAATAGTTGGGAACAGAAGCCATATCTCTTCACCTTTGTTCAGTGCTCTTTACACCATAATAAGGTGTTATATGCTAGAGATAGTTTATCCACTGAGTGAAAATATCAGTGATAATATCAGTATGGTTGAGAGAAAGCAGGTCACAATGCCACTGGTACATTTTTTTCCTTCCTTGCTCCTTGCTTTGGATATATGAATATATGATACATAAATGCTACACATTATAAAACATACAATGTGGTAATACATCTTGAGGAAGGATATTTGCCCAGCTCATGAAAATATTACATATTTAAGCAGTATAATCTTAGTTATGCCCACCTACTGCTTTATTATACATTTAATTATTTAACTTTAAGTCACTGAAATCCATAATTTTAATTTCAACTAGACTTCTATGCCTTGGGAACTTTCAAAGCCAGTGAACTTGGTTAACTTAAAAGAGAAATTAACAGGTAGTTGAAACTAATTTTTTTTGTTGAGTGGTTGTTTTTGCAGGAATATTGTAAGCATAAGAAGAGATGAAGTACATTTTTTTGGTTGTTCACAGCGATTTTACAAAACTCCCTGTCTTAATGTTTTAAAGCCACATCTAACATAGGCAGTTAATGTTTTAACAAATCTAAAAACAACATTCCAGTGAGGACAACATAAAATAGAAAGGTTTTGGCTTCCTGCCAGCCACTGGTCTGAATATATTTGTCTAATTCTTGTATTTATGTTAATGAACTCTTATAAGTTTCTGGTGTTATTAATTATGCATCCTTCATTAGCAATCAAATCCTCTTTACACTGTGGTCAGAAAGTGACTGGGAATTTAAAAAATCATCTTTTTTTTCTTTATCTAGTATGATGTATAATCTTTTGATCTTCTAAGATTGTTAATGAAAAAAATTTATTGCACTTAATATGGTACAAATTATATGAGCTTTTATAAATTATTGAGAAATTATATGCCAATTTTTAATAGTTAAGATACATTAACTATTTCCTTTATGTATGTGTGTGTGTTCATTTTTTCCCCTAAATCCTGCTCAGTTTTTTTGTTTATTTATTTATTTTTATTTTGTTATCATTAATGTACAATTACTTGAACAACATTATGGTTACTAGACTCCCCCTATTATCAAGTCCCCACCACATACCCCATTACAGTCACTGTCCATCAGCATAGTAAGATGCTATAGAATCATTACTTATCTTCTCTGTGTTATACTGCCTTTCCCGTGTCCCCCTCCCCCCGCTATATTATGTATGCTAATCATATTGCCCCTTTTCCCTGTATCCCTCCCTTCCCACCATCCTCCCTTGTCCATTCCCCGTTGGTAACTGTTAATCCATTCTTGGGTTCTGTGAGTCTGTTGCTGTTTTGTTCCTTCAGTTTTTTCTTTGTTCTTATACTCCACAGATGAGTGAAATTATTTGATACTTGTCTTTCTCTGCCTGGCTTTTAAATCCTGCTCACTCTGGGGAGAAATTTTATATATTGTTAGCATAAAATTCAATTTTCCAGGTTACCATAATTGAAGAGAGAAACGTTTGTTACATTCTTGTGCCATGACAGTGAAAATATTTGGGATGAGATGACACTGTTTTCTAAAATTCCAATTATGTCTAGATGCAGCTTAAAAATTCTTAAGAGTTCAGTTTATGGTGTATATATATATATATCATATATATATATACACACATATATATGTATATAAAATACATAACAGTTAATAACTAGTGTTTTATATTTATTTGGGGTATATCATATATTATGATACTTAATTTTGTTAACTGTTTAGGAAAAGAAAATCATCATGATTTGGAAAGACGATTTAGTTTTTGACCATGGCTCTTTAAACAGGGTACTTCCCATTAGGGTATTTACTAAGTCTGTCAGATCACTTGGCTTCTATTCAAACTATCTGAAAAAAGCATTTTCAGATACTTCTAACTTAATAGCTGTGGGAGCTTGGGCAAGTTACTTAGCATCTCTGTACTTTGGTTTTATCATCTGTAAAATGGAAATAATATCTACCTGATAGGTTTACTAAGAAAACTAAATGGGTAGTATGCTTAAAATGCTTAGAATATAGTACAAAGTAAGTGTACTTATAAATGTTTGTTAAATAACTTTGAATAAATAAAAAAGAAAATCATTACATTTTCTTTTGTATTGAAAATTAGAAAGCAGACCGAGCAAAAAGATTTGAATTTTTACTGAAGCAGACAGAGCTTTTTGCACATTTCATTCAACCTTCAGCGCAGAAATCTCCAGCATCTCCTCTGAACATGAAATTGAGACGTCCTCGGATAAAGAAAGGTGACAAGCAGAGCCTAATTTCTGCTGGAGAGTAAGTTGACATCTCTCCCTGCTTCCTTTTCTCTCTCCTTCCTTCTCTTCCTCCTGTCCTTCCTTCTCTCTTCCCTCATACTCTTTCTCTCTTCTCTTGTGCAGTATGATTATGTATTCAGAAAATAAGGTTATTGTCAGTGTAAATATATTTCAGAGCAACAATATGTTTTTTCTCACTAGAAGTCAATCAGTAAAAATGTAGTTGGCTCTACCAACTTCTAAGCAAGCCCTGAGATAACTCATTTTTTCATAAAAGATACTAACAATGTAAACTGACTTAATTGATGCCTTAGGATTTGGGTTGAGTATGAAGGTTTTTTTTCATTTCAGCTACCGCCACAGGCGCACAGAGCAAGAAGAAGATGAAGAACTACTGTCAGAGAGTCGAAAAACATCCAATGTATGTGTTAGATTTGAGGTGTCACCTTCGTGTAAGTATTTCATCACATTGGTGTTTTTTTCAGTTCGGTTTTAGAAAAGTTTGACTCGATTGTATTAATGAACATGTGAGACAGGCTTGATTTTTTTTCTTTTTTTCAGATGTGAAAGGAGGATCCCTGAGAGATTATCAGATTCGAGGACTGAACTGGTTGATCTCTTTGTATGAAAATGGAGTCAATGGTATTTTGGCTGATGAAATGGTAAGGAATAAAAAACACATCTTTAGTTATCAATAATTTTTACATTAATTTGAAATACCTGAGCTCAGTTGCCCCCCTAAGGCCTGGAGGTGCATTGCTTTATTTAGTTATAATGTAAAAGGCATTTGTAAACTCTAGAATTGTTTCTTTACCTAACCTCTAGAACATACACTTACACAGGTCACAAAATTCTTACTGAAATTTCTTCAAATGGTTGAAAACACTTCCTTATACTTTTGTTTTTGTTTGCATTTTGGCTTCCAGGAAGCTCAGAGCCAACATGAATGCTAAAATGGAGTGCCAGTGTAACTCTTAATTGTCTGCCTATTGTGTCTTTTGTGCCTTTTTGTGTTCTGTACCTTCTAGTCTTACTTGCCTTTGGCCTTTCTTTATTTCTATTTTACCATTAATTTGGCCCCATGTTGTCACTGTAGGCCACCTGAAACTTGTTTTCATTATAGGTCATCTGAAATCCTTTTGGTAATGAGGTCAGGTATTTAAGTCAAACAGTGAATGAATCAATAAATAAACATAACAGTAAATGAATGAGTGCAAGCTTGAATGAATGTAAATATCTTGATGTTTGAGCAGTCAGAAAGTGAATAAATGGAATAAAGAACAAGAAGTGGTCTTGATAGGGGTCGGGAGGGAAGTAAACTAAGGAATGATGGACATACAAATAAAACGACTAAAGAGAACAAATAAGGCCATTTTAGATGCTAATTCAGCAGATCAGGGAAATATATGAAGGCTTAGATTGGTATTTTAAGACCAAATGAATAAGATAGCATTTAAGAGAGGGCAGGGGGAGTTCTGGATATATATGATAGATGACCCAGTGATACTCATATCTATTTGACTCCAGAGTCATATTTGCAATCCCTCTGATCCAGGAGAGCCATGTGACAGTTTATGCTCTATAGTGTGTAGTGTAGTAGTCAAGCCCCTAGGTACTCATCCCTGGCTGAGCAACTAACTGTTAGGTATGTGGCAGGAGGTTCTTTAAATCAAGGGTCTGTAGCTCCTTACATTTAGTGTTCCAGGTTGCAGACTACAGTCAGCTCATCGGGTGAGGAGCTTGGTTAATTGGACAACACAAAGCCTAGGATTATTTGCCCTAAGGACCTCTTGACTGCAGCCTATCCAAACATGAAGGGTGTAAAGATATTAAATATTGAGCTTAATAAAAAAGGGAAAGGGGGAGGAGCCAAGATGGCTGTGTGAGTAGGACAGCAGAAATCTCCTCCCAAAAACATATATAGTTTTTAAAATACAACAAATACAACTATTCCTAAAAGAGAGACTAGAAGATACAGGACAACAGCCAGGCTACATCTACACCTGCGAGAATCCAGTGCCTCACGAAGGGGGTAAGATACAAGCCGCAGCCCGGCGGGACCCGAGCGCCACCCCTACCCCAGCTCCCCAGTGGGAGGAGAGGAGTCGGAGCTGGGAGGGAGAGGGAGCCGAGGACTGCTAAATACCCAGCCCTAACCATCCGTACCGGTAGTGTAGACACACAGTGCATGGGGTGCTGGATACTAGGGAAACAGGACAGTAAAACCTGTGAGCGGATCCCTGGGACAAAAGAAAAGCGAGTTCTTTTTGAAAGTCGTAAAGGGACAGGGGCCTCACAGCTGGACGGAAGCATCGCGGCACAATCAGCCCAGCAGGTGGGAATCCTGGGGAACTCTGGGTGCCCTAACCCCTGGGTGGCAGCGCAGCTTGGAGGCCCCTCACGGTGATAAACAGCCTCCCGCCTGTTCCCCCTCCGGCGTGGCCTCGCCATAGCAGAGCAGCAGCCTGAGGCTGGCCACGTCCACAGCAACTATGGAGCTTACTCCACAGCAACTGGGCAAGAATCAGAGCCCCCTTCTGCACGCAACTGCCCAACACAAGCCGCTAGGAGTCGCCGTTCTCCAAGGAAAGGAAGGTGAGGAGCAAGCAGGAAGGGATTTTGTTCTCCCAGCTAACACGCGCCAACTGCTTATGACTGCCTCTATCGCCATGAAAAGGCAGAAGGATTTGATACAGCCCAGACTAACCCAGACACCCTCCACTGAGAGGGAATCTGAGGAGATAGATTTAACCAATCTTCCTGAAAAAGAATTCAAAACAAAGGTCATAACCATGCTGATGGACTTGCAGAGAAATATGCAAGACCTAAGGAGGGAGAATACAGAAATAAAACAATCTCTGGAAGGACTTAAAAGCAGAATGGATGAGATGCAAGAGGCCATTAATGGAATAGAAATCAGAAAACAGGAATGCACAGAAGCTGACAGAGAGAGAGATAAAAGGATCTCCAGGAAAGAAAGAATATTAAGAGAATTGTGTGACCAATTGAAACGGAACAATATCTGCATTACAGGGGTACCAGAAGAAGAAGAGAAAAAGGGATAGAAAGTGTCTTTGAAGAAGTAATTGCTGAAAACTTCCCCAAACTGGGAGAGGGAATAGCCTCTCAGACCACGTAAGCACACAGAACTCCAAACACAAGCGACCCAAGGAGGACAACAAAAAGACACATAATAATTAAAATGGCAAAGATCAAGGACAAGGGCAGAGTATTAAAGGCAACCAGAGAGAGAAAAAAAGTCACCTACAAAGGAAAACCCATCAGGTTATCATCAGACTTCTCAGTAGAAACCTTACAGGCCAGAAGAGAATGGTATGATATATTTAATGCAATGAAACAGAAGGGCCTTGAACCAAGGATACTATCCAGCACGATTATCATTTAAATATGAAGGAGGGATTAAACAATTCCCAGACAAGCAAAAGTTGAAGGAATTTGCCTCCCACAAACCACCTCTACAGGGTATTTGAGAGGGACTGCTCTAGATGGAAGCACTCCTATGGCTAAACAGATGTCACCAGAGAAAATAAAATCACAGCAAAGGAAGCAGAACAATCAAATACTAACTAAAGGCAAAAAATAAAATCAACTACCCACAAAAGCAGTAAAAGGAAACACAAAAGAGCACACACAAAAAACAAACAATAAAAAAACTACCCAAGAGCAAAACTCCTGGGACAGATGGATTTATTGCGGAGTTTTATCAGACATACAGAGAAGACATAATACCCATTCTCCTTAAAGTTTTCCAAAAAATAGAAGAAGAGGGAATACTTCCAGACTCATTCTATGAAGCCAGCATCACCCTAATACCAAAACCAGGCAAAGACCCCACCAAAAAGAAAATTACAGACCAATATCCCTGATGAATGTAGATGCAAAACTACTCAACAAAATACTAGCAAACCGAATTAAAAAATACATCAAGAGGATCATACACCATGATCAAGTGGGATTCATCCCAGGGATGCAAGGATGGTACAACATTCGAAAATCCATCAACATCATCCACCACACCAACAAAAAGAAGGACAAAAATCAAACGATCATCTCCATAGACGCGAAAAAGCGTTTGACAAAATTCAACATCCATTCATGATAAAAACTCTCAGCAAAATGGGTATACAGGTCAAGTACCTCAACATAATAAAGGCCATATATGAAAAACCCACAGCCAACATCTTACTGAACAGCGAGAGGCTGAAAGCATTTCCTCTAAGATCGGGGAACAAGACGGGGATGCCCACTCTTCCCACTGTTATTCAACATAGTACTGGAGGTCCTAGCCAGGGCAATTAGACAAAACAAAGACATACAAGGAATCCATATCAGTAAAGAAGAAGTCAAACTGTCACTATTTGCAGATGACATGATATTGTACATAAAAAACCCTAAAGACTCCACTCCAAAACTACTAGAACTGGTATCGGAATTCAGCAAACTTGCAGGATATAAAATTAATAGACAGAAATCTGAGGCTTTCCTATACACTAACAATGAATAATAGAAAGAGAAACCAGGAAAACAATTCCATTCACAATTGCATCAAAAAGAATAAAATACCTAGGAATAAACCTAACCAAGGATGTGAAAGACCTATACCCTGAAAACTACAAGACATTCTTAAGAGAAATTAAAGGGGACACTAACAAATGGAAACTCATTGCATGCTCTTGGCTAGGAAGAATTAATATTTTCAAAATGGCCATCCTGCCCAAAGTAATCTATAGATTTAAAGCAATCCCTATCAAATTACCAACAGCATTCTTCAATGAACTGGGACAAATAGTTCAAAAATTCATATGGAACCACCAAAGACCCCAAGTAGCCAAAGCAATCCTGAGAAGGAAGAATAAAGTGGGAGAGATCTCGCTCCCCAACTTCAAGCTCTACTACAAAGCCACAGTAATCAAAACAATTTGGTACTGGCACAAGAACAGACCCACAGACCAGTGGAAGAGAATAGATTCTCCAGACATTAACCCAAACATATATGGTCAATTAATATACAATAAAGGAGCCATGGACATACAGTGGAGAAATGACAGCCTCTTCAACAGCTGGTGTTGGCAAAACTGGACAGCTACATGTAAGAGATGAAACTGGATCATTGTCTAACCCCATACACAAAGGTAAATTCAAAATGGTTCAAAGACTGGAATGTAAGCCATGAAACCATAAAACTCTTAGAAAAAAACATAGGCAAAAATCTCTTGGACATAAACATGAGTGACTTTTTCATGGACATACCTCCCTGGGCAAGGGAAACAAAAGCAAAATGAACAAGTGGGACTATATCAAGCTGTAAAGCTTCTGTACAGCAAAGGACACCATCAATAGAACAAAAAGGTATCCTACGTTATGGGTGAATATATTCATAAATGACAGATCTGATAAAGGATTGACATCCAAAATATATAAAGAGCTCATGCACCCCAACAAACAAAAAGTGAACAATCCAATTATAGAATGGGCAGAGGAGCTGAACAGACAGTTCTCCAAAGAAGAAATTCAGATGGCCAACAGGCACATGAAAAGATCCTCCACATCGCTAGTCATCAGAGAAATGCAAATATAAACCATAGTGCGATATCACCTCACAACAGTAAGGATCGCCACCATCCAAAAGACAGACAACAACAAATGTTGGCACGGTTGTGGAGAAAGGGGAACCCTCCTACACTGCTGGTGGAAATGTAAATTAGTTCAGCCATTGTAGAAAGCAGTATGGAGGTTCCTCAAAAAGCTCAAAATAGAAATACCATTTGACCCAGGAATTCCACTTCTAGGAGTTTACCCTAAGAATGCAGCAGCCCAGTTTGAAAAAGACAGATGCACCCGTATGTTTATTGCAACACTATTTACAATAGCCAAGAAATGGAAGCAACGTAAGTGTCCATCAGTAGATGAATGGATAAAGAAGATGTGGTACATATACACAGTGGAATATTATTTGGCCATAAGAAGAAAACAAATCCTACCATTTGCAACAAGGGGATGGGGCTAGAGGGTATTATGCGCAGTGAAACAAGCCAGGTGGGGAAAGACAAATACCAAATGATTTCACTCATCTGTGGAGTGTAAGAACAAAGGAAAAACAGAAGGAACAAAACAGTAGCAGAATCACAGAACCCAAGAAAGGACTAACAGTTATAAAAGGGAAAGGGACTTGGGAGGATGGGTGGGAAGGGACAGAGAAGGGCAGGGAAGAAGAAAGGAGGCCTTCTGATTAGCATGTATAATATGTGTGGGGTGCATTGGGATGGCTGTGCAACACAGAGAGGACAAGTAGTAATTTTGCAGCATCTTACTACGCTGATGGACAGTGACTAATATGGTATGTGGGGGGTACTTGGTGAAGGAGGGAGTCTAGTAAACATAATGTTCCTCATGTAATTCTAGATTAATGATACCAAAATAAGAAAAAAAAAGGGAAAGACACTTTAAGGAGTGTAGAAAATTTGGGAGGAAAAATCAAGAAAATAAAAGTAAGTTACAATTGTTACCTAAAAGTAACCACAGTTAACCTTTTGGCATATTTCATTTTAGTCTTTTTTCCTGCAGATGAATTTATTTTGCATAGTTGAGATCATATTGTGTATATAATTCGGTATTCTGGTTTTTTCACATTCACAGTATATATATTCCACATAATTTTATATTTTCCTAAAAATAATTGTTAATTACCATGTAATCTAGGGAGGTAAGGTACCATAATTTCACTCACCTTTTATCAGAATTTTATTCATCTCCCTCTCTGCTGGTCATTTGGATTGGTTGATATATAGCCCATATAGTATATATATTGTGTATATATATATAATATATTGGTTGATGTATATGTATATATATGGCTTATAATAGTACTATTATGAGAACCCTTATAATTTAGTTTTTCTGTATCTCTCAGATTTTTTTCCATAGGATTCCTAAAAGTGGAATTATGTGGTTATAGAGTATAAACATAGATTTAGATGCATAGCATCCATAAAACCATCTCATAAAATGAAATATCAGATAGTATAAACATAAAAATAGCTTTAAGCTTAGGTTTATAAAAGAAGAAATATATATCTTGCATTGAGATAAAGCCAGAAACAGTTTTAAAAGGCCACACAGCATATGATACTGTTCCCTTTCCATGGCTTAGGTGGTCGATTCATGGATATTCAATGTATTATTTTATAAAAAGTATAGTGGACCAGGTGATCTCTCAGGTTCTGGCTACAGAGTTCTTTGAAGTTCTGTTCTTTTATGGTTCCATAGGTTTGCATGGATGTGAGATGTAAGTTAAGAGCCACTTGCCCCTTGAGATGCATGTAGTCTGAGTATTTCATGCCTGGGCTGCAGTAATCTTGGGGACAGTGGGAAAGAAATACTGGTATCTAAGCAGGCTGGAAAAGGAAATGAGTCTTTGTGAAATACACACACAAAACTTAATTTTGCAACTAGTAGAAACAAGTACATAGTAGAGTAGAAGTCTCCTAAATAGAAAGTTGTTTTGTTGAGTAACTTTCTACCTGCAAGTTCCTGGTTTCTCTTTGTGCTCACAGAAGTACTAAATTGGAATGGTTATTCACTTAAAATTTACTTAATTCTCACAACACTCATATGAGGTAGATGTGTTACTTATTAATAACACAATCCATTATTATGTTTATCTGCAATCACTTTCACTTAACTCTCTGAGTTAGTTGGCAAATATCTTTTTTGTAATGTTGTTACTAAGAAAGGGTTTCATTAATTAAAAAATTATCTGTGGATTTTTTTTTTCCTTGTGTGATAATACAGGGTCTTGGTAAGACTTTACAAACAATTGCTTTGCTTGGTTACCTGAAACATTACCGAAACATTCCTGGACCTCACATGGTGTTAGTTCCAAAGTCAACTTTATACAACTGGATGAATGAATTTAAACGATGGGTCCCCTCTCTCCGTGTTATTTGTTTCGTTGGAGACAAGGATGCAAGAGTAAGTGAGAAATGGGTTTAAAAAGGCAGTCAAGAATAACTTCATTTCTGGGGTTAACTTGCATACCACTGCCAGAAAAGACATTTAAGTTGACCACTACTATTAAGTAATACTTAAGTTGTGCTTATTATTCCGTGTTAGGCTCTGTAGTAAGTGCTTCTTATATATTAATTTACTTAATTCTCACAACACTCATATGAGGTAGATGGGTTACTTATTAATGACACAATCCATTATTATGTTTATCTGCAATCACTTTCACTTAGCTCATTAACCTAAGCATTTTTGAGTTGCACTTTTAAGTGACTTTTTATAAAAAAATCTTATTTACCATGTATCTTATCAGTGACTCTATCATTTGTGCAATTTTGACAGCAAAAATTTGTAAATTTGCGTGACTTAATTTTTTATGTTTAAATTTTTGACTTTGACTTGGTATTATCCATGCCCATGCACACACACACACAAATGGAACCTTTTCTGTTTGTATTGAGAGCCTCTCTTTTGGGTTTATACACAGACAAAACTTTCAGTTTTGGTCTTTGAATAGAAAAATAGATGTCTGCACATATTTTTAGGTAGTATTAGAAACTCTGGGCTCTTGCTTAAATTAGCTATTTGTCAATCTAGTAAGCTGTAATGATTATAGGGCTGCAGAATTAATCTAAAAATAATTTATGCACAAATACAAAAATGCATAATCAGCTTAGAAAGCATATTATTAAACTTGTCTTTATTTTGCCTCCAGAGAACATAGTTTAGAATAAATCTTTATTCTATTTTACCTATTTTGATAGGTTATCAAAAGATATCCTCAGCAGAATGGTAGCATAATGAATTATGTAATTTTATCCTCATCTTGCTTGAAGAAAAATTACTTAAATTTATTTAAATTTAACATTAATAATTTAAATAGTGAAATACTGACTTCAAAAATTTAGAATTACAAGCTTGATTCTTCCCTATGCCTAATATTTGCCAGTAGCAAATTAGTCCCTTAGAGCTCTTTCTGATCACTGCTGTTATTTAATGTAATACCACCCCTTATAAAGCTTTCCATTTCTGAAATATTAATTTTTACTGAAATTTTTTCCTGAAGATCATAACCAAAAGAGAAATATCTAGGCTTGCGTTTTCATAATGTCTCAGTAAAAATTTATGTCAGTGGTTTTCAATTATATGGAATACAGAGGTTTCACGAAGTATCTCTGGGAGTTTTAAAGAAAAGCAGATGTATTTAATTTGTGACTGCCCTATCTCTACCCCATGGGATGTTGGGATTATTCTTATGGTTTCAAAAATTTCTTAATCTTGAAAACCAATATTCAAAGTCAGTATTTTTCAAATTGCCCCTCATTAATAGTTTGGGAATTCATCTTAGTGGGTGGTAATAATAATTTTTTAAAAGATTGAGATAGAATAGAATAGAAAATACCACAGTGTTTCATACATAGTAAGTATACCTATTGCTTCTTTCATATAGACGTAGGTGTATACTGGATTGCAACCTAAAGTGTAATTTGACTGTGGGCCATGGTCAAAAGAATTTGGAAACCAGTAATTATTAATTATATAAATAATGTACCATATTCAACATTCACAGATTGATGTTGGTATGTTTAGAGAAAATCCAGGTCATTATTTATAGACAGACTTGAAACTCGGTACCACATGGGATAGATATATTGGGTCTTTCTAGTTTCCTGGCCTTTTGTAAATATAAGAGGTCAGTATTTTAGTAGTCAAAATTTTGACGTAGGCTACAACAGTTGTTCAGTTGAGTTGGGAAATTATTAGAGATACTCCTGATATGTCTGATGCTAATGTGGTCCTGAAGTATGTAGATGTGTGAATACCAAACATGGTTTTTGGCCCTTCTTTTTCCACTCCAGAGGCATCAAAGATCATGGACATGGAAACAGGAGATCTGTCTTTAGTTCTGGCTTTGCTGCTAACTGTATGATGTTGTCTCCTATAAAATGAGAGCCTTTGGATTATGTGATCTTAGTTCTGTCCAGATATTGAAATCTATCAAGTAGTTACACAATTTAAAAGCAGAGCTAATTTAAATTAAAAATAAATGTATGTTCCATGAATCTGTAGGAGGAATCATTAAAATGATTGTTTCATAAAATCAAACAAGGATTATGTGTTTGCAGGACCAAATGGGATCTGACACCCTGGCTCTCTTTATTTTGTCTCCAATTCCCTAATGTCTTAATTAACTTTTTTAATATGATCACTTCCCAGGGTGCAGCTGAGTTATCTACAAAGGCCTTTTTTCCATCCTCTACTTCAGTCCAGGCAATCCTTTAACACGGTAGTGGGCACTAGTGAATATTTGTTGAATGAGTCCATGGTGTGTTTGGTGTATAACTGCAAATTTGTGAAATAATGACTTGGCAGCTAACAGTTAATTTTTGTCTGTGCACTGTAATTTCAGCTTTATAGATTTTCAGATTTACTGATCAGCACCTTATTATGGATTTTGTTGCTCCCTGTTAACTTCTGTGGTTTTATTTTGACCTATAACATCTGGAATTGAGTTGTTATAAGTTAAAAATGCTCTCAGTCAAGTTGAGTACCATGTTGGCCACTCCCTGTGAAGATTTAAAAAAGTTTTAAATGGTCTCACCATTTTAAATAGCCTTCTCTACTAGATAGAGCAAATCCTCTTTCTGAAATCACATTTGTAGCCTCATAACATCAGGAAATTCACAAAAACACATGAATGGGCTTTCATGACCCCTTAACAAAGTATATGATTCATCCCTGCTAAAAGAAACATAGAAGAGATCCCAAAAGATTGGCATTACTCATGTATATTGAGTTCTTACCCTTTGTTGAAACTACATCATTGTAATGCTGATATCTTGTTATGAATATGGTATTCGGAAAGTAGTTACTTTGCTCATGTCCTTGTGGACCCCTTATGATAAGAAGAGAGCCTAGTGGTTTAGTCATCTTCTGGTGGTATGCGCTTCTCCAGTTCATTCAGTATACCATACTTATTTAAGGGAAACCTTTGCTTCTCTTGTACTGCTGAATAATATTAGCATGTCATCCAGATAACTGACCATAAATGTACCTTTGGGCCTCAGTTTTCCTATCTCAAAAGTGTATGACACTAAATGAGACCCAGGGTCTCTTAGTACTCTTAATATTCTCTTGATTTAATTTTGTGCTCATCTTGTTGGCATATTCTAACAATAAGTAACTATTTTGCATTAGGCTCTTTTTATTCGTGATGAAATGATGCCAGGAGAATGGGATGTTTGTGTTACTTCTTACGAGATGGTAATTAAAGAAAAATCTGTATTCAAAAAGTTTCATTGGAGATACCTAGTCATTGATGAAGCTCACAGAATAAAGAATGAAAAATCCAAGGTAAGCCAGTTCTCAATATTTTTAATTTTCTTTTAATGACCATGGCTATTCACTTCCCTGTATTCAAGAAAAAAAAGTGATTATGATTTTATTTGTGCATTGTGAATGAAAATCAGCTTGTAAAATGGTTTCAAAGTTTAAATTACTGAATACATGGCAAATGGAAATTGTGGAGTTTTTAATGTAAAGAAATTTAGGTGGGGGCTCTCTTGTCCCCTCCTGGCCTGAGCCAGGAGCTCTGTCCTCTCGCTTTCTCTCTAAATAAAAGCCTCTGCCTTGCAAGAAACTTAGGTGTTAATTTGCTATACCCGTTGCAGCCTAACTCTGTTATGCTATAGTATGTTAATATTTTGGTAATATTTGGTGTACAAATGTCATTTGCATTGATTTTTTTTACCAAGGGAGCTACCTTATATGTATTCATATGGATTAGAAAAAATTATTTCCTGAAATTATCTGACTTGTGTGAATTAGAGTGTGGTGTTAACATTGAAAAATATCAATATTTCTTGCCATTCAACTGCATCAATAGTAGGAAAAGCAATTATTATGATGAACCTCTCTTTGGATCACTGGGCTACTTTGGGAGAACAGGGACAGAACTGGAGCAAAGGTGCCAGGTGGATCATACTACTTTCAGATTGGAACTAATACCCAAAAAGAGGGCACATGTTAGAAAATAACTGTTTATTTAAGAGCATTATAAAAGTGCATTTTTATTGATAGGATCACTGCTCTTTTATATTTTTGCTTCAATTTTTGTGGTCTTTATTTAGTAAGTTGATATAAGATGTCACAGAAAATGGGCTCAGCTCTGGTGCTTAAAATTTGTGACCAAGCCAAGTCAGAACTTGGCTAGGCATGTACATGTACATGACTGGGGAGAAGCAGCTATTTTGTAAAGTGACTAGCCTGGATTCTAACTGTTTCTGTGAACCCAAAATGGAGAAAATAAATTTTTTGAGGTGGGGGAAGGGTGTTAGGTGTGACTGTTTTCTGCATTCTTGTAAGTGTAGAAATGCCTAGAATATTTTGTTGAGTTGTGCTTCATTGTGGCAGTGTCACCTGAACTAGGATATTTTTCCATAGAAAACTAATTTTCAAGTTTTATTTTATTCAAAAAATGTATTGGTTGGATAAAGAAGTGAATTGAACATTATAATAAATGAAAAAAATGTTAATAATGCTATTATTTTTCTAGCTTTCAGAGATTGTCCGTGAGTTCAAGTCAACTAACCGTTTGCTCCTAACTGGAACACCTTTGCAGAATAACTTGCATGAACTATGGGCATTACTCAACTTCTTACTGCCTGATGTCTTTAATTCCGCAGATGTAAGTTTAAGTCATATGTTGTAAGTGTAATTTTCTTATGTTCACAGACATCTGTTTTCAAAATATAGAATATATATTGCAATTTATAGTTCTTCATTTGTAATTCTTTGTGTGTTTTGGTTTTCACAGAAAAGAGCTCTTAAGTATAAACTTTTCAAATGGGGATATCTAGATAAATAATATTGCTTTTCCTTGAGATTATCCTCCTTGTTAAAATTTGGGTATATCACATTGATGCCATAATTTAGGAGATAGGCTGAGTTCAGAATAGTGCATGCATTTCAGATTTTTATTTAAATTGGAAGGGTTTTCTGTGTACTAGTTTGGCAGTTGGAGTTTTTAACATGGTCTCTAATTATGGTAGGCATTAACATTTGGTGAGTACTAAAGGGCTCATAATGTGTGATTAGAGAAACAGTGTATTTTGTGAATGTATGATTTATATTTTCATCATTAACACAAGGTTATGCTAGTGCAGCAAATGAATTGAATGATTTATGGACTTTGGAGCTTGATTTTCGTCCTTACTGATATTAATTGATACTAAAAAGTACCATGCTCAGCTATCCATTGGTTTGTATACCTTATCTTGCTTTTGTTCATTTTTATTGTTTAATATTTTCTTCAGCAGTATATGTCTTCAATTTTATATTCTTACTACTACTTCTCTCAACTGGATATGATGCTGCTATGGTATGGGGAAGGCTAATCAAACGCCTTTTAAGGAAAAAATGGTGATGGGGTTCCTGTATAAAGGGGTTCAAATTTTGTTAACCACTTTAGTATTGTATCTGTTTTCAGAAGTAAATAATATTGACCATCACAGTTAGTATATCTTTTGAGGTGATTTCAAAATGAATTATTGCTATATTAGTTGTGTAGAATAAATATTGAGTTTATTTTTAAAAAAGCAAGCCATGTGCTGACTACAGAATTTTTGTCCCTCCACAGGACTTTGATTCTTGGTTTGACACTAAAAATTGTCTTGGTGATCAAAAACTTGTGGAAAGACTGCACGCAGTAAGTAGTAGCAGAGAAGAAAATTTAGTACTTAAATGCATGTATAACCAAGCCAGAAAATGAAGTGCCATAGAACCTGAACTTCTGGGTTTGCCTCTTGGTTTAGTCTCACGGCTTCTCCTTCCTAACCTTTCTGATAGCCTCTTTGGGAAACAAACTCCACTAGATACTCAGCTCATCTACGGAGTAGCTGTTTTGCTTTGACGTTCCCCTTTGGGCAGTGTGGTCTTCTCCCATAGAGGCTCTTCACTCCCCACACTCCACAGGTCCTCGAGATCGTATCAGTATTCTCCTAGTTCCCCAGTGCCACTTGTAATCCACTGCCATGTATAGAGAGGTCTTCTACCGAGGCTCGTTATCTTGCAGGTCCACCCTCTCCCATTCTCTTCTCTGTCATCTATTCATCACCATTTGACTCCCTCACATCATTAAACACCAGTTTTCCATTCCTTGATTACAGCTTCTTACATCTTTCTAGTTCTTTCACCCATTCCTCCTTCTGTACTTTCAGAGGCCTCCAGTCCCTGGACCTATGCTTTTTCTCTCCATCCATCTGCCCATTCCTGCTGTTAACTTTTTTCTGTATTCATCAGTAAGCCTATTTTCTATCACTTGGACTGCTCTTTAGCCAATACTTCCAAACTCCCTTGATCTCTTGTCCATCTGCTATTTCCATCCTGAAAGCCTTAAACAGGATTGATGTAACTGTGTCTCTGTCCTCTGGGTTTGAATTCTGCTTCACCCTCTTAGTAGCAGAGTAACCTGCTGTGTACTGGGGCTGCTCAACAGTCATAAGGAAAGTTATACAACTGTACAGGTTAGAGCTACTACAGTTTCATATCCTCTGACAAAAGCTGGGATTTGGTGATGCTGGCCACCTTTGATGTGGCTTTCTACAGCATTCCTTCCCATTTCCTATTATAGCTATTTCAGACTTTACCCAATCTTCCCAAGACTTCTATCCCAGCTATCCTCTGGCCGCCTCCTTTCTCAGCAAATATCATTTCTCTCAAAGAGAAGAAGAGAAGTCATTAAGTAGGAACTCCTTCAAGGATATCCATCTTCCAAGGATATCTGCATCTCTGTTACTTTCTGTCTGAATGGAAAAGGTGTTCTTTCCCTGGCCAATGGCTAATTCTTCCGACATGAACTCTAATCTCTTCGGTTTCTTTTTGGACCTTTTCCCACACTTTATCCTTTAATTGAATTTTCTACCTTTCTCTCTATATTGGCTCATTTCCCCCAACATGTAAACATGCTCGAGTATTTCCCTTACTAAATCCAAACCCACACCCATACCCACCCACCCTCATGCATACAAAACAGTACTCCCTCAACACAGTGTCCCGCTTTAGCTGTGATTCTGGTTTCTTCCCTTGATAGCTGAGATTGAAAGAGTAATTACCAAAGAATAATTACCAAATCGATCTCTCTATATTTCTCTGCTATCTCCAGAACTACCAAATTGATCTCTCTATATTTCTTTCCTACTTCTAGACTTATATGTCTCACTGCCTTCTGAGTCTTTTTGCTTAAATGTCTCACAGGCAGTTGAAAGTCTTAAGAATCTCTCTTCGACAAGTTTAAGAGGCCTAATCCAGAGACTAGAAATCGTCTTTTACTCTTCTCACTTTCTTACCTCCCATAGATCTCTAATAATAATAGCTACGGTTGACTAACTGTGGTTAAATTCTACATGTGTACTACCACAAATTTTCACAGCAGCCTTGCAAATAGGTATCATTATCCCCATTTTAGAATGCTTGACACATACATACTGTCATGAATATATTTTCTTGGATGAATGGGAGAAGAAGGGGTTCAGAAAAGTTAAGGAATTTGCCCAGCTCATAACAGCTAATTAGGGACTGAGCTGATGATAGAATCAGCTTGATCTGAGTTTGAATTTGGCTTCTGCCACTTACTAGCAATGTAACTTTGGTGAAGTACTAAAATTACAATAATCACATTTCCCTCAAAGAGTTATTGTAAGGATTCGATACTCTATGTAAAGTTCATGGTGCAGTATCTGGCACATTGCAGCTACTCTGTATTGATGGTAGCATTACTATTTTCTCGTGATAGAATCTGTCTTACAGTTGTACACTGATGATTGCATCTTTTTTCCTCCATATCTTCCTTGAACCATTTTCTCCTCTCTATATATTCATCTTGAAATGAATGAACATTTTTTTGAAATGGCCTGTATTTTTATCCCACTTTTAGAGATTCTTTGATCCATACTCTGACTACAGCTTTCCTCTAAGGTTTAAAAACCTCATGTGACAGCAGCCTTTTTAAAAGTGGTTCTTTCATGCTTATTCAATAGTCAATAATCTTGTTGTTTTAGTTTTTTATGTATTTTGTGCCATCAAATCATGAATGTCTACTTTAGGTCCCCTATTCTCATTTTCCATTTAATGGGCCACTACTTGGTTCTTTTATAGCAAGAGAGTTGGCAACAATTGGTGTTGGTAGTGTTTTCAGATTATGCTTTGGGAAGTACATTTCACATTGGGATGTTATCAATGAAATATGTGATTTATAATATTAAATGTTTTATAAACTTTTGTAAAAATGCCACTTTCTAGGTTTTAAAGCCGTTTTTGTTACGTCGTATAAAAACTGATGTAGAGAAGAGCCTGCCTCCTAAGAAGGAAATAAAGATATATTTGGGACTGAGTAAAATGCAGCGAGAATGGTGAGCTATTTTATTTTCGTTATGATTTGTGTGTAGGGATTTATTAAAAACTAGCTTCATAGTGGTTCACTCCTGTTTTCAGTTAAAATTACATTTTATGTTTAAATGGTAAACTAAGTAGTTCAAATATTTCAATAGAAAATTTATGAGTATTTTATTTAACCTTTGGGAAAGAGCATGCATGGGCGTTGAGTCTATAGATGTGTGTTTGAGTCCCATGCTTTGTCTCTTAGTAGCTATTTAACTTGGGAAAGTTGTATAAACTCAGTTTCCCTTAGGTAAAATGGGAGTGGTAATACTTAGCTTATAAGAATGACATCAACATTAAAGAGACTAATTTCACTGACACATTTCTTATTCTTGCTTTTCCACCAGTGAAAATAGTAATAATCATAAAAAATAATAAGATGGATGAAAACATTGGTGATTGTGGATATTACAAAATAATTAGCTGAATTGGTTTGATAAATATAAGCAAGTCAGGGAATTGGCAAGAGGAGTCACAAGAATTACAAATTAGCCATGTTAATATAATAATGTTTAGATGCAAAATGTTGCTTATATAAATAAAATCATATATCACTTATATAATGACTTCTCTATTATTGAAGCTAGTATAGGGTAGTGGTGAGGAGTACATATCTTTGGACTCAGATATAAGATCAAATCCTGGCTTTGTCCCTTTCTGTGACTGAGTTAGTTGTTTCACTTAGCTGCCTAAATTTCCATCTGATGGGGATAATTCTAGTGCATACCTCAGAGTTGTGAAAATTTAACAAGATTCCTTTAAAGCTCTTACATGATACTGGCACTTGTAGTCCATACAGGTTGGCTGTTATTAAAATTAAATATTTTAACTCTTCAGGTGGGTATGTAGATCTATTTGCACCTGAGTAAAGGTGTAAAAGAGAAAATGAAAAATGTTTACAGGATCAGAAAAGAATGACTTATGAACACAGGTATAAGAAATTGCCATTGTTTTTAGCTCAAACAATTTAAGGGTGGATGCCAACTTTGAGCAATTTTTAGTTACTGTGAATAATTACCAAATACAGCCTCTTTAGTTAGCTAATTATCAGATATATTAGGCAATTTATAGTAATGGATAAATGCAGGAGGAGACAAGTTTATAGGCACCGTGCAAGTATTAAACTGTTCAAATCTTCACCAGTTTCTTGGTTTTGCTGATCATATTTGTCTCAAATATTGTTTACCTTTAAATGGGAATCTAAGCTGATCACATTTCTTGAAGGCATTAGACCTTTCTAATAATCAAGGATTAATTATAGTTTAAAATCATAGGTATACAAAAATCCTGATGAAAGATATTGATGTGTTAAACTCTGCCGGCAAGATGGACAAGATGCGACTCTTAAATATTCTTATGCAGCTTCGAAAGTGTTGTAATCATCCTTACCTTTTTGATGGTGCTGAACCTGGTCCACCTTATACCACTGATGAGCACATTGTCAGCAATAGTGGTAAAATGGTAGTTCTTGATAAACTCTTGGCCAAACTTAAAGAACAGGGTGAGTTACAAATCTTTAAATTAACATGAAATTACTTAATAGCTTGTATATGAATAACATTTTGCATATTCACTCACCATTCATCCATTCACTCACTTGTTCAGCAAACAGTGCTGAGTACTACTATTTGCCAAGAAGTGTCCTATGGGGTTGGGTATACAAAGATGCATAAGACAGCAGTCTTTGCCTTGGAGAAGTTCACAGTGTAGTGAGGAGGAATGATTGTAGTTCATTATGATGAAGTGCTTTGATAAGTTGAGAAACTGGGAGTTGGAGAAGTCTTCACAAAGTTGACATTTGAAGTGAGCACTGGAGAACTTGTAGGAGTGAATCCTGGGAGAAAGTAGGAGAAGGGCAGTAGTCCAGTGAAAGCTTGTGTGGACCCATCACTTATCCTCAGGATGGAGTAAAGGCCGACTTTAAATAAATCATCCCAGTATGTGTGGAGGATTTTGAAGGCCTTAAAAATGCATAACTCAACAAATGCATAATTCTGTATAGCATCCCATAAAGGTGTGTGTGTGTGTGTGTGTACGTGTATGTATGTAGTGAAGTGTCCATGTGCTACATATTTACATTGCATATGATGTTTACTTTATTATTGTAGCGTTCAAGTTACTTGTACACAAGTTGAATAAGTTGCATTTTTTGGTGTGTCTTTTAGGTTCAAGGGTTCTCATTTTTAGCCAGATGACTCGCTTGCTGGACATTCTGGAGGACTATTGTATGTGGCGTGGTTATGAGTATTGTCGACTGGATGGACAAACCCCACATGAAGAAAGAGAGGTGAGGAAGAGCAAATAAAACAGGACTTCAAAAATCAGAGTTCAATTAAGCCATGTTTTACTTCATTAGGTAGTTTTGAACTTTGGCCTTTTTTTTTAGTGAGGTGCATTGAATCTATCACCTCTCTTTCACTGAGGTCTTAAGTTTGGCTTCCAATACACTGACTCTTTACAAATCTTCCTTTTCAAGGTCTTCAAAGACATCTTCACTTATCTAAAGAATACCACACCATTGTATTCCTACCTGCTTTAACCACTGCTATCGCTGGCCTTTTCATTGTCATTTTTTACCTTATTCTTTGACCTGATTCCATGTCAGTTTCTTGTTTTGATTTGCTTCCTACAGTAGACCCTTGCCATTTGTGGAGTTAACAGTTGAGATATTTCCAGTTTATGAGCAACTCTAAAGATCCATGGAACATAGTAATTTGTAAAGGGTATAATCTCAGTCTTACAGCTATTTTGTAAAACTGAAATGGGACAACATGGTATATAGGTGCTTACCATGCACTTGTATCTTGGGGATACTAAAAGGTTGGTGTGCAGGAATGAGTCACCTAGCTAGTGAGGAAGCCTACCTAGCACCCAGTGTCTTTCTCAAATTTGAGAATTCTTACAGATGTTTAGATTAGCCCTCATGAATGTCATGGGTCTAATGTATTTTACACCCTGTAAAACACTTTTGTTTTGGGTTGGAGGACTTTGCTAATTTACCTTCTCTTCTGTGATTCTTTGGCCTCTGTTCTAAGTCTATACTCATGCTTTGGGCATAGATTGTGATTTCATGGTATAGTGGAAAATGTATTGAATTTAGTTTCACAAGATCTGGATTTTAGTGCCAACTCCACCATTTTGCAGTGTATGCAAGCTATTTAATTCTCTGAGCCTCATATCTTTAACTGTATTATAAGGGTAACATCTCTACATATGCTTTTTTCTGATAATGTTGTGAGGTTCATTGATACAATAGGTATGAATGCAGTTTTTAAACTGTGTAGTGCAGTATATACTGCATGCCATGAAATTGCACACAGGCCTTTTTACCTCTCAGCATTAGGGCCACCAGCTCAGGCCACAAGGACTCAGCCTGTGTCCCTCTCCTTCCATAGCTGCAGTGGACATAGACCCTTGGGTGCCTCCTTATTGAAGCCTGGCCATAACATAGGATAGAGTCCCCATCAGGCACATAGACCTTTTTCCTATTAAGGGTTTACTTGCTACCCCTCATGGGGAAACAGTTGGCATAATGTTTACAACTGTGAGGATGTTTCAGAATTTACAGTTTCCTACTCTGTACTATTTTCATCTGTCTGAAATGGTAACCTTATGTTTTACTGGGCTTTTGCTGATTTATTCCTGAGAATGGGTTTCTCCAAATTCACATTAAGCATAGGCCATATAGTACCATTCAAGATGACCCTTCTTCCTGGAATGGAGATAGATGATAGGCAGAAGAGTAGGTGCTTTTCTGACCCTAAATAAGTCAGTTTGCATTTCTGACTGATCTCGATGCTCATGAACAATGTGGACTTTACCTAATTATGCCCAAATTATTCTGGTTCCTTAAAATTTCAAAGAAATTTTGGAGACTTTGAATTGCATGTATTGACTTTAGATACAGCAAAGTCAGAGCTCTTCAATTTTTTGGGAAATGTCCTGCTTTCCCATTACATTGTTATTCATACAATAATAATTTCATCTATTTTCCTGTTAAGAAGGGGAAGGCCACATTTGTTTTCCTTTCTCTAACTTTTTTCTGGCTATTAATAATTCTTCCTCAAAAGCTCTTAGATTTGGTCCTCTATCACCACAGCAAATTCAGCTAGCTGTCTCTGTTCATCTCTGACTCAGTCTCTAACCTTTACTTAATTGGCCTCCTCACTCTTAAGGGAAAGGAACTAACATTTGTCAAGTAACTACTAAAAGCTGGGCAATGTACATTCCACTTGCATTCTCCCAGCAGCCCAGTAAAGTACTGGCCAAATTTTCTCCGCTTGAAACTGTGTCTCAGAGGTTAAATGCTTGCTCAGAACCACGTATGCAGTAAATGGTAGAGTTAAGGATTCACACCGAGGTTTTTGCCATTTTCTTCTCAACCAAACTGCCTCTCACTACACCATGCTGCTTCTTTACTGCCCCTTCTACAAGCTATATGGACAGCGGCAGTGAGTGTCGCTTTCTCTGCCTGCCACTTTTGGCCGTGCCATGCCACTCATTAAAAGTACAACTTCCTGTATTTTGTGATTTTAAAAGTAATATATGATTGCCGAGGGAAATACGGAAAATAAAAGTACTTATGGCCAATATTTTTATGTATATATAATACATGTGAGTTACTGATATTATACTACATTCACTGTATATAAAGTTCAGTATCCTGATACTTTTTACTCAACATTATGTTGTACTTTCCTATATTAGTAAAAAATCATTGTGAAAATAATTTTAGTGTAATATTTCATCCCATGGACATAGTATAAATAATTTTCATCCATTGTTGATCATTTAAGTTGTTCCCAATTTTTCACTATTATAAACAATGCTAAAGTGAAAATCCTTCTACATAAATCTTTGTGCACATTTCTGATTATTTCCTTAGGATAAATTCCTAGAAGTGGAATTACTGGGTCAAAGGGTATGAACATTTTTAAGACTCTTGATGCATATTGCCAAATTGCTTTCCAGAAAGGTTGTACCAATTTACACTCCCAGCAGCAGTGTATGAGAGTGCCCGTCTCACCGTCCCCTCGTCAACATTGAGTATTATTTTTTTTAATCTTCAAAAAATGTTATTATGTTGTTTTAATTTGCATTTATCTGATTATTCATGAAATTGAACATTATTCTTATGTTTATTAGCCATTTGTATTTGTTGTTGTATTTTCTATTGATGTCTAAGTGTTTTTTTTTCTAATTAATTTGTATGAGATCTTTATATACTAAGGATGTTAACATCCCATTAATTTTTAAGAATATTTATTAAATATCCCTGGACTACCTTCCTGACTTTCCTCATTACTTCCCTCTTTGCCCCTTTTCACCATATGGAAATAAATCTTCTTACTGTTCCCTTTTATCTGTTGCTCTGGCCCCCTTTTCTAAATCTTTTTTTCTCTCGATTGGTCTTCTAAACTATACCTTCTGTATTAATCCTTCATAAACTAATGGGAATGAAATTGAGATGGCTGACATTTTATCCTCTAGGTATATTTGACCTCTCATTCAATCAAAACATTTTCACTATCAATTGTTTTAAAATAAATGATTTATTACTTGCTCAGCTAAATTTGCTATGTGATTGTTCTAAGCTTGTTTATATGAGCTAAAGTTTAGGAACCTTAAGTAATATGTAATAGTATGGAGTATAGATAGATACCTGAATTTTAAGTAGAAGACTCTTCTAAAGTGGTGTTTTGTGTATGCATGTTAGAATATTTATTTCTTAAGGAGTCTGGTAATTTGATTTTTCTCTCTTTTCTTTTATATCTTCTGTGAATTAAAAAAAAGGAAGCAATAGAGGACTTTAATGTTCCCAATAGTAGCAAATTCATCTTTATGTTGAGTACCAGGGCTGGAGGTCTCGGAATTAACTTGGCAAGTGCTGATGTGGTTATACTATATGATTCAGACTGGAATCCACAGGTTGATCTACAAGCTATGGTTAGTAATCTTTAATGATATCAGAAATTTATCTTAGTTCAGAATACTATTATTATTTATATAGCACAAAAGGAACTTATGATAAAAGGATAATAGCAAATTTGGGGAGGTTTTATAGATGTTAAAATAGATTGTCCTGAAAAACAAAGTTGCTGTACTAAATGCAAAAATAGAGAAAATGAAAACGAATACACCCCAGATCCAAATACTTGTGTAACATTTGTGTGTCAATTTTGGCTTTTATCATAAAACAAAAATGTCATTATTTCCCACTTCTGAATATCGAAGAGGACACATATGTTTAATGAAAAGGGTTAAAAAGTTAATCTCTCAATATTATTCTGATTAACAACTAAACATATATAATCCTTAGCACTGAAATTGGGAGAGGTAGGATTTTAACTTACTGTAATAAAACAACCGAGGCAAGAAGATAAAACAGTAACACAGGAATATATTCTAGGAAAATATTTGCTACCTAAGGACATCATCAGAAACTATTGTACCCCTTTAAAAAAATTTACAGGGAGCTATTTCTCTTTGCTTTCATTGTGGTGTCATTTACTGAACTAGAGCTACAATTTCTGTCAGTGTGACTCACATTTTAAGATAAATGTAGTATCAGAAGCAAAAGGATGCAAAATAGCTATGCATTCAAAATACCAAGAAGGTTTGGAATAACTGTATTTGGAAGCAATTACAGTTATATTCTTTGAGGCATGTTCTAGAAGTCCTTCCCTTTCTTTTGTAATACAGAATTGAAAGATACTGGCCATTGGAACATTTTTAAATCAGCATGGTTTGTCATAATTATTATTACTTTAGCATGATAGTGAACAATTAGTATGACTAAATAGGAGTAAGCCCCAGTAGGTTACAGCATTACTGAACTGGAAACCTGTTGCTGATAACCCTTAACAGTGTTACAGGAGAGCTGATCTTTCAGTTTCCTGATTTGAGTTTGAAATTTGAAATATGTGTAGAGGTGTGCAGTCTCTTTCAATGTGCTGTTACCAGTCTCCAGTGTTTTTATATTTAGCACAAGAGCTGTTTTAAACCTTCTTTGATTTTTTTTCTTGATTACCCTCTCCTCCCTTCACCTTTTGCCCTAGCAGTTTCTGTGTTTTAAAGCACTCCCCCTAGCTGGTTTTATATTATCAGAACTTGCCATCTGCTGCCTTTAGCAAGTATAAACCGTAGAACCGATTCTAGACCACTGTGTAGTATGGCTATTAATATAGCATTAATTTTTATGACCCTTTATTACAGATCCCAGAATTGCCTCAGTAAAGCAGAAAGAGCTCCTTGATGATGAGAAAGCTGACTTTCACCATCGTAGTAACCCTTACTAACTACTTTGCCCCTCACAAAACTCCTTGCTAGTGTGGAAGATACTTGTATTTAGTGGCCTAAAGTTACTTAGTAACTTAATCCAGAAGCTTTCAGCTCTCTCTAGGAGCTGCTTTTGCCTGTTGTCTTTCTGGAAATTTTCCATTAATGGTGCAATAAAATATTTGCAGATTTCTTTGTTCCCAGGGGTCTCTAGATATCTTAATGTTCATCCTGCTTTCAAAACTGGCAGGTCTAGAGACATCAGGAAGTAATTTTATTTTCAGAATTTTATATGAAGGCTATACTATACATTTTATCCAGAATACCCAATATCTTACATTAGGGTTCTATCTACTAGGATCGAGCACATCGTATTGGTCAGAAGAAGCCAGTACATGTGTTCCGTCTCATCACTGACAACACTGTTGAAGAAAGGATTGTAGAAAGAGCTGAGATAAAACTGAGACTCGACTCAATTGTTATACAACAAGGTATTTATACATGTAAACTTAGATTTAAAAAAAAACATGCAACTTTCCTTACAGGAGATAAATTTTAATGAATGTTGACCAAGATTTATGATCTTAGAGAAAAAACCTGTTTTTTTTTAAAATGGCTAGTTTAAATGTTCCATTTAAAGCCTTGCATTGGATATAGGGGGTTGATAGTTGAACATCACTTGTTTATGAATGTCAATTTCATGTCTTTTGAAATACTTGATATTACGGAGCAGATAAAATGTGTAGTTTAAAATATTTTAAAACAAGTATTACTAGTGCCCCATACAGACAGATTTGATCTGACAAATTGAACATCACAAAACGTTCTGAGTTTTAACTGGATTTTACAGTTTCATATTGAAATGGAAGGTATGGTAGAAGAAAAACTTGGAGGGTTCTTCATTAAAAAATAACTTAAAACTCACTAATTTCCTGTTCTCATCAAATTTTACTTAAATGTGGTAGTTTCTGCTTAGAACAAATTATACTTCGCCTTCTCTGGAATATAATTGAATATATACAACTTCTATTTTTATTATTAGGAAGACTCATTGATCAACAGTCCAACAAGCTGGCAAAAGAGGAAATGTTGCAAATGATACGGCATGGAGCTACCCATGTTTTTGCTTCTAAAGAAAGCGAGCTGACAGATGAAGATATTACTAGCCTTCTGGAGAGAGGGGAAAAGAAGGTTAGTTAAAATGCCATTTTGTTTTCATGCTGGATTGTTTTAAAAGTCAGCTTACTTTGGAATGTTTATTGTATTTGCATTGTTGCCAAATGCATGCTTCAAGCTGCATGTTTCCAATGACTCATGTTCTCTCGAAGAATTTGTAGATTTTTATCTAGGGTGGAGTTTAGGTTTTTTTAGTTTAATTTTTGTGGGAAAGACTAAGATCTGGGGTTTAAAATCGAGTGACCTTATCCCTCACACTTACTGAAAATAATACTGGTATTTACTTAAAGCCAGATAAATTTTATGTTTAATCATGCATGTCAGGATTGCATTTTGATGACCTTTTCTGGCATTGGATTAGAAATTGTCTGTTGATAACATTATGTTAACTGAACATCTTTTATGAACATCACATGAAATATTTCAGCATTACTTGTTAACGAATAATGTGTTTCAGAAGATTTTGATTTTGTGTTGAATTTGGCTTTTTTCACAAATTATTGTGGATGATTTCAAACAAGCGAAAGTAGACAGAATAGTGTAATGAGCCCCCACATTCTTATCACCCATTTCCAAACCATTACCCAGTCCTGCCCCATTTGCAGCATTAACTCATCTTCCCCCTTCCTGGATTATTTTGAATCAAATCTCAGCCATACCACTTCAGCTGCAAATATTTCACTATGTATTTCCAAAATATAAGAACTCTTTTTAAAAACATGATCATTATAGCATTATTTCACCTGAAAAGCCCCCGAAATTCCTTAATAACATCAACTATCCAGTTAGTATTCAAATTTCCAATTTTCTCGTGAGTAGCTCTACTTTTTTAAAAACAGTTGTCTTTTTGTTGAATCAGAATGTATGTAAGTAAGGTTTACACTTTGACATTGGCTGATACATCATCTATATCTTTTTTAATTTGTAGGTTCTTCTTCCATTTATGTATTATTTCCCTTGTAATCTATTTGGTGAAGAAAGTGGGTTGTTTGCCTTTTGAGTTGCTCACAGTCTAGATTTTATTGATTCTATCCCCATGTCCACTTATTTACTGTATTTTTTGTAACTTGGTTTAATTTACTTTTAAGATGAATTTTTTGTTGATGAGGTAATTTATTTATTTACTCATTGATTAATTATTATATCGCCAGACTTATTTATTTTATAACTGACCCCACCACCACCCCTGCCTCTGGCAACCATCAATCTGTTCTCTGTGTCTATATGAGTTCTCTGTGTCTATATGTGTCTATATGATATCTCCATATCAGTGAGATCATATGGTATTTGTCTTTTATCTGTATGACTTCTTTCACTTAGCCTAATACCTTCAAGGTCCATTCATGTTGTTGGAAATTGTAGGATTTTAATAATAGTCTGTAATATATATATACACCACATTTTCTTTATCCATTCATCCACTCATGGACAGATACGTTGTTTCCATGTCTTGGCTGCTGCACTGAACATGGGGGTGCAGATATCTTTTTGAATTAGTGTCTTTGTTTCCTAAAATAAGTACCCAGAAGTATAATTTCTGCGTCATATGATAATTATATTTTTAATTTTTGGAGGAACCTCTATACTGTTTTCCATAGTGGCTCCACCATTTTACATTCTCACTGACAGTGCCCTAGGGTTCATTTTTCTTCACTTACCAACACTTACCATCACTTGTTATTTCTTGTCTTTTTAAGAATAGCCATTCTAACAGATGTGAATTAATATTTCATTGTGTTTTTGATATCCATTTCTCTGATGATTACTGATGTTGAGCATTTTTTCATGTATCTGAGGTCATATCTGTAATTTTGAGCAATCCTGTGTTAATATGTTTCATATTGGCATGCAAAATGTGTTGGTTAATTCCAGTTTGCCTTTATTTTAGCATTAGCTATTTGTTCCATTAAAATTATGCAATAGAAATTATAATGTGGCTGCACCTCAAATGATAAAAGATCTTAAAGCCTAAGTGAGAGTACTTTGGAAGTACCATTTATACATTTGAAATATTTGGGTCAAGTTAAATTTATATTCAATTTGATGTTGGCATTGCATTCTTACCTTACTAATTAGTAGATAGGCTATTTCATGTCAAAATTTGATTTTTATAAAAAGAATCCGAGAATCTAAAGATGGTGGCATGAGTAGGGTGGTGGAAAACTCCTCCAAAAACCATATATATTTTGAAAATACAGCAAAAATAACTATTCCTAAAAGAGTGACCAAAAGATACAGTACACCAGCCAGGCTACATCTACATCTGTGAGAACCCAACATCTCACGGAAAAGGGTTAGATACAAAGCCGTGACCTAGCGGGACCCGAGCAGTCCCCCAGCTCACTGGCAGGAGGAAAAGAATCCGAGTGGGGAGGGAGTGGAAGCCCAGGACTGCTAAATAACCAGCCCTAGTAATCTTCACTAGGAGCACAGAAACACATTGCATGGTGTACTGGATATTAGAGGGATGGAAAAACAAAATCTGAGACTAAGACTGCGAACAGGTTCCCACAGCTGGCTGCCCTGGGATAAAAGAAAAGCGGGGGCTTTAAAAGTCTTAAAGGGACAAGGGTTTACCAAGTGGACAAAATTGTCCTGGCATACTTAGCACAGCAGGCTGAGAACTTTAAGGAACTTCAGGCACCCTAACTCCTTGGGTGGCAGCACAGCTCCAAAGCCTCTCATGGTGATAAGCAGCCTGCCGTTCATTCCCATCCCACTGGCACTGCAAGCAAACCAACTGACCTGCCATTGCTACAGAACAGTGGGGCAGCAGCCCGACCCACAGAAACCACACAGAGGATTCCCTAGCATGTGGCTAACAGGCCCAAACCCAGTGGCTGCTCCCTGCCCATGGTTGACAGGCACAGACAGTGGAGACCAACAAAGAGTCTGGAAGGCACAAAGGGGCTTTATTCTCACAGCAAACATGCCCTGCTCATCTGCAATGTCTGCCAATGCCCTAGGCCATCCTGAAGGCCGCTCTGCCCAAGCAGCTAAGGGGATTAACCCAGAGGCTGACCCCTGTGCCTGGTTGACCCACACAGACAGAGATAACCAGCACAGAGTCCAGGAAGCACATAGGGGATCTGTTCTCATGGTGGACGTGTGCTGCTTGTCTGCAACCACTGCCAGTGCCCTAGGCCATCCTGAGGGATGCCCTGCCCACAGTAGCTCAGGGGATTAACCCAGAGGCTGCTCCTTGTGTGCAGTTCACCGGCACAAGCAGCGGAGATGGACAAGGTGACCAGCAAGAAGGAAGGGAATTTGTTCTCCCAGCTGACACATGCCATTCTCCGGCAACCACTTCCATCACCATGAAAAGGCAGAACATTGTTCAGTCCAAAATCCCTCAAACACCAGAGAGGGCCTGGTGAGACCAAAATCACCAATCTTTCTGCAAAAGAATTCAAAATAAAAGTCATAACCATGCTGATGGAGCTGCAGAGAAATATGCAAGACCTAAGGGATGAATTCCAGAGGGAGATAACAGAAAGAAAACAAATAATGAAAAGATTTAAGACCAGACTGGATGAGGTGGAAGAGACTGTTAATGGAATAGAATTCAGAGAACAGGAATATAGAGAAGCTGATGCAGAGAGAGATAAAAGGATCTCTAGGAATGAAAGAATATTAAGAGAAATGTGTGACCAATCCAAAGGAATAATATTTGCATTATAGGGGTACCAGAAGAAGAAGAGAGAGAAAAAGGGATAGAAAATGTCTTTGAAGAAATAATTGCTGAAAACTTCCCCAAGCTGGGGATGAAAATAGTCTCTCAGACCATGGAAGTCCACAGATCTCCCAACACAAGGGACCCAAGGAGGACAACACCAAGACATATAATAATTAAAATGGCAAAGATCAAAGACAAGGACAAGAGTATTAAAAACAGCCAGAGAGGGAAAAAAGATCACCTACAAAAGAAAACCCATCAGGCTACCATTGGACTTTTCAGCAGAAACCTTACAGGCCAGAAGGGAATGGCATGATATATTCAATGCAATGAAACAGAAAGGCCTCAAACCAAGAATACTGTATCCAGCAAGATTATCATTTAAATTTCAAGGAGGGATTAAACAATTCCCAGATAAGCAAAAGTTGAGGGAGTTTACCTCCCACAAACCATCTCTACAGGATATTTTAAAGGGACTGCTCTAGATGGAAGTACTCCTAAGGCTAAATAGATGTCACCAGAGAAAATAAAAGCATAATAAAGAAAGTAGACCAACCTAATACTAACTAAATGCAAAATAAAATCAGCTATCCACAAAATCAGTCAAGGGAAACACAGAAGAGTACAGAATAAAACACCTAACATATAAAGAATGGAAGAGGAAAAATAAAAAGGGAGAGAAATAAAGAATCATCAGACTGTGTTTATACTGGCATAATAACTGAGTTAAATTAGACGGATAGATAGTAAAGAAGCTACCCTTGAACCTTTGGTAACCATGAATCCAAAGCCTGCAATAACAATAAGTGCATATCTATTGATAATCACCCTAAATGTAAATGGACTGAATGCACCAATAAAAAGACACAGAGTAATAGAATGGATAAAAAAGAAGACCCATCTATATGCTGCCTACAAGAGACTCACCTCAAACCCAAAGACATACACAGACTAAAAGTCAAGGGATGGAAAAAGATATTCCATGCAAATAATATGGAGAAAAAAGCAGATGTTGTAGTACTTGTATCAGATAAAATAGACTTCAAAACAAAGAAAGTCACCAGAGACAAAGGACATTACATAATGATAAAGGGGTCAGTCCAACAAGAGGATATAACCATTATAAATATATATGCATCCAACACAGAAGCACCTACATATGTGAAACAAATACTAACAGAATTAAAGGATGAAATAGAATGCAATGCATTCATTTTAGGAGACTTCAACACATCACTCACTCCAAAGGACAGATCAACCAGACAGAAAATAAGTAAGGACACAGAGACACTGAACAATGCACTAGACCAGATGGACCTAATAGACATCTACAGAACTCTATACCCCAAAGCAGCAGGATACACATTCTTCTCAAGTGCACATGGAACTTTTTCCAGCATAGACCACAAAGTAGGCCACAAAAAGAGCCTCAGTAAATTAAAAAAGATTGAAATTGTATCAATCAACTTCTCAGATCACAAAGTTGTAAAACTAGAAATACATTGTACAAAGAAAACAAAATGGCTCATAAACATATGGAGGCTTAACAACATGCTCCTAAATAATCAATGGATCAATGATCTAATAAAAGCAGAGATCAAGCAATATATGGAGACAAATGAAAACAACAGCACAATGCCCCAATTTCTGTGGGACACAGCGAAGGCTGTTCTAAGAGGAAAGTATATAGCCGTCCAGGCCTATTTAAAGAAGGAAGAACAATCCCAAAAGAATAGTCTAAATTCACAATTACTGAAACTGGAAAAAGAAGAACAAATGAGGCCTAATGTCAGCAGAAGGAGGGACATAATAAAGATCAGAGAAGAAATAAATAAAAATGAGAAGAATAAAATAATAGGAAAAATTAATGAAACCAAGAGCTGGTTCTTTGAAAAAATTAACAAAATAGATAAACCTCTAGTCAGACTTATTAAGAGAGAAAGAGAATCCACACATATAAACAGAATCAGAAATGAGAAAGGAAAAATTACAACAGACCCCATAGAAATACAAAGAATTTTTAGGGAATACTATGAAAATCTATATGCTAAGAAACTGGATAACCTAGAAGAAATGGACAACTTTCTAGAATAATACAACCTTCCAAGATTGACCAAGGAAGAAACAGAAAATATAAACAGACCAGTTACCAGCAATGAAATTGAATCGGTAATCATAAAACTACCCAAGAACAAAACAACCCAGACCAGACGGATTCACTGCTGAATTTTATCAGACATTTAGAGAAGTCACAATACCCATTCTCCTTAAAGTTTTCTAAAAAATAGAAGAGGAGGGAATACTTCCAAACTCATTCTATGGGGCTAGCATCACTCTAATACTAAAACCAGGCAAAGACACGACAAAAAATGAAATAGACAGACCAATATTCCTGATGAACATAGATGTAAGAATACTCAACAGAATATTAGCAAACCGAATTCAAAATACACCATGATCAAGTAGGATTCATCCCAGGGATGCAAGGATGGTACAACATTCTAAAATCCATCAACATCATCCAGCACATCAACAAAAAGAAGGACAAAAACCACATGATCATCTCCATAGATGCTGAAAAAGCATTTCACAAAGTTCAACATCCATTCATGATAAAAACTCTCAAAAAAATGGGTATAGAGGGCAAAACCTCAACATAATAAAGGCCATATATGACAAACCCACAGCCAACATCATACTGAACAGCGAGAAGCTGAAAGCTTTTCCCCCACGATTGGGAACAAGACAAGGACATCCACTCTCCCCACTTTTATTCAACATAGTACTGGAGGTCCTAGCCATGGCAATCAGACAAAACAAAGAAATACAAGGAATCCAGATTGGTAAGGAAGAAGCCAAACTGTCACTGTTTGCAGATGACATGATATTGTACATAAAAAACCCTAAAGACTCCACTCCAAAACTGCTAGAACTGATATTTGAATTCAGCAAAGTTGCAGGATACAAAATTAATACACAGAAATCTGTTGTATTCCTATACACTAACGATGAACTAGCAGAAAGAGAAATCAGGAAAACAATTCCATTCACAATTGCATCAAAAAGAATAAATCCCTAGGAAAAAACCTAACCAAGGAAGTGAATGACCTATACCCTGAAAACTACAAGACACTCTTAAGATAAATTAAAGAGGACACTAATAAATGGAAATTCATCCCATGCTCTAGGAAGAATTAGTATTGTCAAAATGGCCATCCTGGCTAAAGCAATCTACAGATTCCGTGCATCCTTATCAAAATACTGACAGCATTCTTCAACAGACTGGAACAGATAGTTCTAAAATTCATATTGAATCACAAAAGACCCCCAATAGCCAAAGCAATCCTGAGAAGGAAGAATAAAGCAGGGGGGATCTCGTTTCCCAACTTCAAGCTCTACTACAAAGCCACAGTAATCAAGACAGTTTAGTACTGGAACAAGAACAGATCCTTAGACCAGTGGAACAGAATAGAGAGTCCACATATTAACCCAAGCATATATGGTCAATTAGTATATGATATAGGAGCCGTGGACATACAATGGGGGAAATGACAGCCTTTTCAACAGCTGTTGTTGGCAAAGCTGGACAGCTACATATAAGAGAATGAGACTGGATCATTGTCTAACCCCATACACAAAAGTAAACTCAGAATGGATCAAAGAACTGTAGGTCATGAAACCATAGAACTCTTTAGAAGAAAATGTAGGCAAAAATCTCTCGGACATAAACATGAGCAACTTCTTCAGGAACGTATCTCCCCAGGCAAGGGAAACAAAAGCAAAAATGAACAATTGGGACTACATCAAACTAAAAAGCTTCTGTACAGGAAGGGACACCATCAGCAGAACAAAAAAACACCCTACAGTATGGGAGAATATATTCATGAATGACATATCTGTTAGGGGTTGACATCCAAAATAGATAAAAGCTCACACACCTCAACAAACAAGAAGCAAATAATCCAATTAAGAAATGGGCACAAGGTCTGAACAGCCACTTCTCCAAAGAAGAAATTCAGATGGCCAACAGGTACATGAAAAGATGCTCCACGTCACTAATCATCAGAGAAATGCAAATTAAAACCACAATGAGATATCACCTCACACCAGTTAGGATAGCCACCATCCAAAATTCAAAGAACAACAAATGTTGGCAAGGATTTGGAGGAAGGGGAATCCTCCTACAGTGATGGTGGGAATGTAAATTTGTTCAACCATTGTGGAAAGCAGTATGGAGGTTCCTCCAAAAACTAAAAATAGAAATACCGTTTGACCCAGGAATTCCACTTCTAGGAATTTACCCTAAGAATGCAGGAGCCCAGGTTGAAAAAGATATATGCACTCCTATGTTTATCGCGTCATTGTTTACAGTAGCCAAGAAATGGAAGCAACCTAAGTGTCCATCAGTAGATGAATGGATAAAGAAGATGTGATACATATACATACACAATAGAATATTATTCAGCCATGAGAAGAAAAGAAATCCTACTGTTTGCAACAACATGGATGGAGCTAGAGGGTATTATGCTCAGTGAAATAATCCAGGCGGAGAAAGACAAGTATCGGATGATTTCACTCATGTGGAGTATAACAACAAAGAAAAAACTGAAGCAACAAAACAGCAGCAGACTGACAGTTACCAAATGGCACTGGGGAGGATGGGGAGAAAGGGGTATCACGATTAGTATACATAATATAGAGGTGGGGGCATGGGAAAGGCAGTATAGCACAGAGAAGACAAAGTAGTGATTGTATAGCATCTTACTATGCTGATGGACAGTGACTGTAAAGGGGTATGTGGTGGGGACTTGATAATGGGGGGAGTCTAGTAACCATAATGTTTCTCGTGTAATTGTACATTAATGATATGAAAAGAAAAAGAATCCAGAGACTTTTCTAAATAATTCAGAGGTAATTTTCTAATTTCAATCTATTCAACTTTAGACTGCAGAGATGAATGAACGCTTGCAGAAAATGGGAGAGTCTTCCCTGAGGAATTTTCGAATGGACACTGAACAAAGTTTGTACAAGTTTGAAGGAGAAGATTATAGAGAAAAACAGAAGGTAATTTTTTAACCTCAACCATTAAACTCTCAACTTAACATTTCTCCCTGTAACAATTATTAAAAACTCCCTGTACTTACCTATTGAAGTACTTTGCTATGGAGTGAAATTTGATGTAATATATTTGCTTGCTTACAATTACTATCATCGTTATGTAGTTGTAGTCATACAGTATGCAACCTTCTTAGATGGGCTTTTTTCACTAGGTAATATGCATTTAAGGTTCCTTCATGTCTTTTCATGGCTTGAGAGCTCATTTCTTTTTACTGCTGAGTAATATTCCATTGTCTGGATGTACCACAGTTTATTTATCCATTCACCTACTGAATGACATCTTGGTTTCTTCTAAGTTTCGGCAGTTATGTATAAAGCTGCCATACATCTCTGTGCAGGTTTTTGTGTGGATATAATTTTTCACCTTCTTTGGGTAAATACCAAGGAGCATGATTGCCGACTTAGTGGTAAATGTATGTTTAGTTTTGTAAGGAACTGCCAACCTGTCTTCCAGAGTGGCTTTACCATTTTGCCTTCCTGTAAGCAATGGATGAGTATTCTTGTTTTTCCTCATCCTCATTAACATTTGGATTTGTCAGTGTTCTGGATTTTGGCCATTCTAACAGGCGTCTAGTGGTATGTTGTTTTAATTTGTATTTCAGTGATGATATAATGGTGTTGAGTATCTTTTCATTTGCTTTTATGCCATGTGTATCTTCTTTGGGTAGGGAGGTGTCTGTTCAGGTGTTCTGCCAATTTTTTAATCAGGTTCTTTTGTTATTGCTGAGTTTTACGAGTTTGTTTATGTTATCGATAACAGTCTTTTATCTAAGATATGTCTTCTGCAAATATTTTCTCCCAGTCTGGGCCTTACCTTCTCTTTCTCTTGACCTAAATTGCATTTATATTGCTGTGCCTCCTTAGTCTCTTCTAATTGTGGTAGTTCTCAGTCTTTTTTTTGTCTTTCATGACCCAACACCTTTGAAGAGCATTGGTTAGTTATTGTGTAGTTTGTCTCTCACTTTGGGCTTGTCTGACATTTTCTTGTGATTTGATTGAGATCATGCATTTTCGGCAAGAATGCCATGGAAGAGATGTTAACATCGCTGTCAGTACATCATAGTGGGGAACATACGATGTTGCTGTGTCGTATTACTGGGGATGTTAACCTTGATCACTTAGTTGGGGTGGTGTCTGCTGGGTTTCTCCACTGTAGAGTTACTATTTTTCCCTGTGTAATTGATTAATATCTTGGGGGAGATATTCCTCAAAGTTTTACCCACTCATTTTATCTATTGGTGGAGTTTGCTGGCAACAGGTCATTATTATGGTGTTTGCCTAATGCTAATTTTGTATTTCCTTCACTCTGTCTACATTTATTAATTACTTACTACATTAAAAAACTTAAAAATTTTATTTTTTTGTGAGCGATTCTGTTAGGAATTTTTCTATAAGGAAGAGCTGTTCCTTCTCCCCATTTATTTATACCAGTGGGGACTCAAAATTTTATTTTATTTTTTGAGTTATAATACAATTCTGTCACTATTTACTTTGTTGCTCAAGTTGTTCCATAAAGCTGGTACTTTTTAACTGACAGAAATGCATTTTATTAAAATAGGAAAAGCTTACCCTAGGTCACTGATGTACTGAAAAATGAGAGGCAAACCAATATAGTTAGCATTGCAACTAGTATGCTGATAATGCATTGTTACTATCATCATTTCTGGTAGTTTTTAGCATCTGTCTGGTTGTTTTATCTCTAATCTTAAATAATACTGCTTATGTTTTATTCTGATGAGATGGAGGTAAAGGCTTGCATGCACAAGGTGGAAATTGCTTTCCTGATATGCTTTTTAGATGTCATTATGTGATGTGAATTTTATTACTTTTACAATTATTCCCATGGGCTTATTGGTATTAAGAGTCCGTTACAAAGTGGAAAAATACTAAGCAATGAAGAGTGTAAATATCAGTGGAGCTTCTTATATATATTCTTAGAGGAAAGTTAGACTTACTAAAATATGTGTTTATTTCTAATATACAAGGTTTTCTTTCCTGTGCTTCTCATTCTAGCAAAATAATTGTGTACAGATAGAAATTTTAATAGTGATGATGACATGTATTTTTATAATTGAAGCCAAATCAGATTTTTTTCTGAATATTTTGAGTTGAGATTTGTATTTTATTTGTCTTTCTTATTTTATAGATAGGTCCTTAAAATAAGTTCATATTATCTATTAATGAGAATTGAAAACCTGCAGGAATGTTGTTCATGCATAAATCATGGGACTTGCACAGTGAGGTAGATTTTCACATATGATTTCTTGAACCAGTTGTCTTACTTTACAACAGCACCTGGTAAATTAAGTTACAATGACTGGCATTGATCCTGAATAAGTTTGTATGAATGTACTCTTAAACTAATTCAGCATGATTTATTCTGTTTTTGAAAGTTCAGGAATTGAGCTTTAATGCTTATTTCACATTTGACTACCTAGACCTTCACAAGTATATGTTAAATGGTCAAATACATTACTTTAGAAAATTATTTATTTATTTTCACTCCAATTGTAACAAATAAAATATTATTTATAAAATATCTTTTCCATTATGGTCATCTCACATTAATCCATCTGAAGGAAAAAAAACCCCAACTCATTTCACTGCTCTGGATTTTCCTCATTTCATGTAAACTCACATTATGCAATCCATATCTTATAGATTCTTGGAGTTAAAAGAGACCTTGGAGGTTATTCAGTCTGACCTTTTTTTGTAATTAAGAAGTTCCATCTATAGCATCTAAGATACTTATCCAGCCTCTTTTTGAGTGGCATCATGTTGGGAATCTTACTCCTTTCAGGATAGTACATTTCACTATTTTATATTATTGGGTTCTCAGAAAACTTTTTATTTAACAACTTATAAGCTTCTTGATGGAAGAGGTTGTTTTATTCCTCAACACTGACTTACAAGGAATATATTAGGCACTTAAGACATATTTGTTAAATTATTTTGAGTAGTAATCTACTTTTCACATTGGTTTTAATCTTAGGGATCAACAAAGAACTGTGTTCTTTTCCATTTGATAGACTTTTACATCTGTGGATGCCACCATTATGGCTGTCTTTGGTCTTCACTTCTCTAGATGCTGTGAGTTTGTAGCTTTCTAGCCATCCTAGTCATCTTAGTTTATCATCCACTCTTAAAATATGGTATCAACATTAGAACTCAACACTTTATATAAGATCAAATAGAGTGGGATCATTAATTGTAGATTAATGGCCTCTTTTAGGTCATTAATGGCTGCTTTTGTGTAAAGGCACTGGGTTAGGCACTGACAAATCAGGAAAAATGTCTGAATAAGAAAACCATTCCTAGAGACTCCAGGACTTTGTATTGTCAGTTTGTCTATTCGATTTTAGATTGTCTTTTCTAGCTGATATTGGGATAAAGTTTTGTAATGCTGCCAAGTTGATTGTGCACCCCACTCTTGATGTCTAATAACAACATATTTGAAGATGTGGTCCATATACACAATGGAGTATTATTCAGCCATATAAAGAAAAGACATCCTGCCATTTGCAGCAACATGGATGGTGCTAGAGGGTATTATGCTCAGTGAAATATGCCAGGTGGAGAAAGACAAATACCATATGATTTCACTTATTTTTGGAATATGAAAACAAAGCAAAATACAAGGAACAAAATAGCAGTACACTCATAGTCACTGAGAAATGACTAGTGGTTACCAAGTAGGAGGTGTTGGGGGTATGCATGGGGGTAGGAGTAGGGGGATAAAGAGGTACAATAATTTGCAATCACAGTATAAGTTGATCACAAGGACTGTTGAACCCCTGTGATGTACATTTGAAACCAACATAAGATTGTATATTAATGACACTAATAAAAAAATAATAACTTATATTTAACTGTTGGTAGTCTCCTTTCACATATATGGTCACATTTAATCCTCAAGGTAGGTATTATTATTCCCATTTTACAGATAGAGGAAATAATTTCTTCAAAGCCATACTCCAATTGTAACAAATAAAATATTAGTCATTAGTAAAGTGGCAGAACCTGGTTTCAAATTCAGGTCTATTTTTAGTAATTAAACCAATCAATCAATTAATTAATTTTATTAAGATATTATTGATATACACTCTTATGAAGGTTTCACATGAGAAAACGATGTGGTTACTACATTTACCCATATTATCAAGTCTCCACCCATACCCCAATGCAGTCACTGTCCATCACTGTAGTAAGATGCCACAGATTCACTATTTGCCTTCTCTGTCCTACACTGTTTTCCCCATGACCCCTCACACCATGTGTACTAAACATAATACCCCTCAATCCCCTTCTCCCTCCCTCTCTCCCTGCCCTTCCACACCCCTCCCCTTTGGTAACCACTAGTACCTTCTTGGGGTCTGTGAGTCTGCTGCTATTTTGTTCCTTCAGTTTTGCTTCGTTGTTAAACACCACAAAAGAGCGAAATCATTTGGCACTTGTCTTTCTCCGCCTGGCTTATTTCACTGAGCATAATACCCTCCAGCTCCATCCATGTTGTTGCAAATGGTATGATTTGTTTCTTTCTTATGGCTGAATAGTATTCCATTGTATATATGTACCACTTGTTCTTTATCCATTCATCTACTGATGGACACTTAGCTTGCTTCTACAACTTGGCTGTTGTAAATAGTGCTGCAATAAACATAGGGGTGCATATGTCTTTTTGAATCTTAGAACTTGTATTCTTTGGGTAAATTCCTAGGGGTGGAATTCCTGTGTCAAATGGTATTTCTGTTTTTAGGTTTTTGAGGAACCTCCATACTGCTTTCCACAAGGGTTGAACTAGCTTACATTCCCACCAGCACTGTAGGAGGGGTTCCCCTTTCTCTACATCCTCGCCAGCATTTGTTGTTGTTAGTCTTTTCAATACTGGCCATCCTAACTGGTGTGAGGTGATATCTCATTGTGATTTTTATTTGCATTTCCCTGATAATTAGTGATGTGGAGCATTTTTTCATGTGCCTGTTGGCCATCAAATTCAGGTGTTTTTGATTCCCTTGACTTTTCCCACAGTTATCTTCCAGGAGGTCTCTCTTAAAAATTTCTCTTCATTTAAAGGGATATATGCCTGTCATGTTGATACTCATTATTTATCCCTTTCACCTTTTTTTTTCTAATTTGTACATTTACCAGTTACCAGAATCCATGTTAGCCTGCCTTATATATTAAATACTATTTAACTATTTTGATATAAAATACTAACCAGATTGTGTGAATTCTTCTTAATTACTAAGGAAGTGGTAAGTTTTAAACTTACCTTAAAAAAAGAAAAGGCAACCATACTTACACCTCAACTTGGTATACAGTACAAAGTTCTGGAGCTTGGTTTGTGCAACTGTGACATATGAACCAAGTTTTGATTCTTCTTAATCAAAGGTTTTCTCATGCTTCTGCAACCTTGATGTTCTCGATTTTTATAAAACAGTTTGGAGTAATCAAATTTGTCCTTGTTTTTTGCGTACAGCTTGGGATGGTGGAGTGGATTGAACCCCCTAAACGAGAACGCAAAGCAAACTATGCAGTAGATGCCTACTTTAGAGAGGCTTTACGTGTCAGTGAGCCTAAGGTTCCAAAGGTAAAACAGTATGAAGTCACTTTTTATGTCCTACAGCATAAATGTCTTGTTAGTAACACGGTCTGTGATTCAGATTTACTTATATTAGTGCTGAATCACGGTCCTTAAACTGTAACAGCAATACAGTAAAATACTTGATATGGTTCAGCTGTGTAAATGGATTCCATTGTATTTATTTTTTTGTACTAAAAAGAAGTAGTGAAAGATAAGTATGTTCACTTCATGTACTAAAAACAAATACATATGTCATGCATTTTTTCCCCCGTAGGCTCCACGACCTCCAAAACAGCCAAATGTTCAGGATTTTCAGTTTTTCCCACCACGTTTATTTGAGCTCCTGGAAAAGGAAATTCTTTATTATAGGAAGACGATAGGCTATAAGGTAATTTTTCAATTTTTTAGATTGGTATAATCTCTCAATCTAATATAATCAATTAAGCTAGACTAGAATGTGTTCCGTTTTAATATGAGAGAAAATAAAAATAAATGAAAATATTGGTTTTCTTAAAACCAAAGAGGAGGTTTAACTAAAAGTAAAGCATCAAACTATTGGATTACCAGTAGAATCATCACTAACTGGGATTGATGGGAGAGTTATCCGATATTTCAAGATAGTAATAGTAACATACATTATTTTAATAACGCTAGTTTTTCAGTGGTCAGAGAATATGTAGAAAGAACAATAGGTATGTGTTTAATTAGAAGTAGATGTATGATAGATAGGAAGTTTTTGCTAATTTTCCTTAGTAGGATTGAGAAATAGTATTTTTGTGTTTATTGCTCATAGACTAATGGAAGCTCTTGGTGGTTAGTAGACTGTGGTCACTCAAGTGTTAAAAATACTGACATCATTTTAAAATGACCTTTTGGAATTGAAAATGCTATTTAGATAAAAACCTCTTTTTAGTGAGTGAAATTTAATGTTTGTCACCCTAAAGCTATCACATTGATAGATTTAGCATACCAGGTTATTTCTATATGTCGAAATCAACATCCCAGTGAATGGAAAGGGATGATCAAAGGTATAATAATAATCAACAGTATCAACAAAATTGTAAAAGTTTAACACTTCACAATATTATGAAGTTTTCTTTCTGTTTTGTGAATTGGAAGCTGTGTTTCAAAATTTATTTTGTGACCCTTAATCACAAGTAGATCTTTGACCAATTATTTTGATTAGTGGCTGTAGTGTGACTAGAAAAGCTCCATGTATATAAGATACTTAGTTATTTATTACATTTTGGGGCTAGAGTGGATCTTTAGAATGTTTCTACTATTTGTCCAGAGTGGAGCATTGTCATTTGAAATGAGCAAAAAGTTATAATCTGGTTGGGGAACTGTGATTAAATTTGAATATATTTAACTAATAGGACTAGATAAAATCCTTCTTAGGAAGTTGTAGAGGAGTAAAATATTCATGGTGAACATTCAGACCAGATGTAAAACCAGTTTCAAAGAAAGTGAAAATGGCAGTGTGCCAGGAGAAACAGGCAAGTTACAGGTTCAAAATAAAAATAAAAACAGTAAGATTAATAAGGTAGTTAATGAAATTCCATGAAGTAAAGAGATATATATGTCACTCCATTAAGGGTTTTAAAAATTTTAGGTTTAGATCATTATTTTGTTACTTTTATTGACTTATTAGTGAGACTTGAAAATTTATTGAATGCTAGACCTCACTTAGTAATCAACCACATATGTGTGTAGAGCATTTTATAATTGATGCAATTCTTTATCACATACTTGATTTGATTCCTAACAACTCTATGAGATAGGTGCTATTATCACCTCCATATAATAGGTGAGGAAACTGAAGTTCAGAGAGGTTAAATGACTTGTTTAAGGTCACATAGTTAACAGCGTTGCCAAAGGTGCTTGTCTGAAATCCAGGTTCTCTGTGTCCAAATGCTGTTATGCTCTTTCCAGTCAGACATTCTGGGCTATTCCTGCATGTGACATAACCCTGCTTCTTTCTGCAGCCCTAAATAAGGACTGTGTTTACAGTGGTGTGACATGTTGTTTGGGAGGTGAGCCAAGTGAGGCTCAAGTAGCAGCAACAGAACAATCATCTCTGCTGATAGAACCATTGATGCTCCTTCTTTGGGGATCCTGAAATTCTATTCCCGGTCAGAGTACCATGCCCGCCGCATTCTCACTACAGCTGTTTTCAGTGTACACAGTGCCTTTGATTGCAGGCAGTTTGTGATTAGGCGTGAGGTCTTACAATGACAGTTGGTGGTGGCCAGCTAGAGAGGAAACCTTAGAAGAGGTAGGAATGAAGGGACAGCAGTGAAGGGTGGCAGGAAGGAGGAAGGTGTAGGAAGAGAGGAAAAGGATGAATGAGGAGAGGGAAGAAGGCATAGGATTCATGGCAGGGCACCTTACTGTTTGGTTTCTCTTCCTCACCTTGCAGGGAGAAGCGACAGGAGAGGGAACATGAACGAAAGGAGGGCTGTTTTTCACTTAATACATATTTTTTGAATCCTCCTCTGTGCCTCATCCTATGCCACACTGGGGATAAAGTGGCAAATAAGACAAGGCCCCTCAGTGCATGGAACTTACATGCTAATGGAGGAGACAGACATTAAACTGATAGCCCAGAGCACTGCCATCGTGGTTTGTATTCAGTGCTTACACAGGGTTCCACAGGAGAGCATAACATGGGCATCAGATGTGGTCTGGGAGATGAGGGAGGTGGTCTTGAAGGGAAGCGTCGTATGAGCTGAGAGCAGAGAGATGCATAGGTATTAGGCAAGTGAAGTGACAGAGAACAGCTGAGCAGGGGAGCCGCAGGTACAAAGGTGTGCTAGGAAGGAGCATTGCCCTTCCAGGGATGGAAAGAATGCCAGTGTTGCTAGGGAATGGCGAGGAGCAGAGTGACTGGACATGAAGCTAGCTGGTCAGTGGGTAGAGCTGGATCATGTGGAGCATTGAACATCAATTGCAGGTTATATTAGTTAAGTTGGACTTTAGCTTTAGAGTAAAGGAGAACAACTGAGATGTTTTTAAGGTGGGGGACGGGGTGGGTGAAATAATAATAGTAGGTACTTATTTAGTCCTTACTTGTATTGCTTACTGTTCTACAAGTTCTTTAAAAAAGATGATCTCATTATCCTCATAACAGCCTTGGAACTACATCCCTATTTTACAGATGGTGAAACTGAGGCATAGAGAGGTTGAGCAATTTGCCCTGAGTAATTTGCTCAAGGTCAAACTATTTGTAAGTGGTAGAGTATGACCAGATTTACATTTTTAAAAGATCACTCTGGCTGCGGCATAGAGAATCGTGAGTTTATCCAGGGAAACTAGGCTGGAGGCTGTTGAAGTGTGAAGATGAGAGACAATGATGGTGGCATGGAGTGTGGTGGTGCTGGTGGTGGAAGGAGAATCGATCCCATCCCATTCTGCTCCTCTCCTTGTGCTCTCTTTACCCTGTCCTGGATTGCCCCTGTGTCCCCTTAAGCCTTGCTTTGATCCTCCTCCATATGCACATTTAGCTTAGGATTTATGAGACAAATAAGAATACATTCTGGAGGTTGGGTCTTTCCAAACCTTGTCTCTTCCATTGTTTACCAGGAGCTACAGACCTCAGCTAAAGTGGGTGCTTTTATTGGGTGGGTTTCATGTTTGAGTTCAGAGTTCTAGGCAGATGAGCATGGTATGCTACTCATCTGCAAAGCTTCCCTTCAAAGGTATTATGACATTGTTAACTGTTAGATGTATCTTCTCAAGGATGTACAGCATTGATACCCCACCCCCCCACCATACCTTCAGAAAACTCACCAGAGCCACAGTGTGAGTGGAGCAACAGTTTACTCTCAGATAAACAGAACTGCTGTAGTGGAGTCACCTGGGATTCTCTGTGCCTGCTTAGGTTCTCAAAAAGGGACCACTTTCCCCATTTCTGCTTTAAATGAGTGTTAGCCCTGGAGGATGGGTGTTGTCTGTAGCTGGGGGCATTGTGGTGCACAGCACAATTTTGTCCATTTTCCATCCCTAGAGTCTTATTCTGCAGTGATTTGGGGGTGAAGCTAGTAAGGGGCTCAGTAGTTTTGAAGCAGTTGGTAAAAAGCATTTTTCTCCAGGGTCTATTTATTTGCATTAATAAAAATTTTTTTATTGAAGTGTAGTGGCTATACAATATTATGTATAGTTTAAGCTGTGCAATATAGTGATTCCATAAATTACATACATTACGAAATGCTCACCACAGTAAGTGTAGGTACCATCTATCATCATATGAAAATATTACACTACTGTTGACTATATCCCCTATGCTGTACTTTTCATCCCTGTGATTATTTGCATTTTTATTTTCTGTATTTTCCCCCTTATAGTCAGCACAACAAGGTCAAAACAACTTTGTTGATAGTAAGATCTAGAATTAAAGAGTTTTGTTTGATTTGAGGCTGAGTAAAGCATTTGTATGTCTTGCCCTAACCACTTGGTGGAAAGCAATGCATTATGTGCCAATTTCCCCCACTGTCTATGCTTTGACCTTGTGAATTGGACCTATTCAGAAGCTTCATTGCTCTTGGGACTTAGAGGAGTTATTAAACGCATTTAATCACTTGTAAAGTCTTTGTATTGGAAAGAGGATAACTTCATTGAAATTTCAATGGCAGAATTAAAAAAATCCAGAGTATATAGAATTCCATTGCATCTAAGACCTGGAGTGAGAAAGTTTTGCCATATTTGAAGCTGAAGAAAGCTATAGAACATTCTAACACTTATCTTCAAGAAGAAAATTCTTTAGGGATGGATATAAACATTTGACAAATGGAGGAAGTTCTATAATCTTTCTGAGTTTTGGTAATGTGTCATTGTGGGCCCCCTCTTATGCTGTGGTAGAACTAAAATACAGTGAACTGATTTCAGGTTGCTAACTTTTATTTTGTGTTCTGTCATATTTAATTCAGTGTTCCCTATTTCTGTGAAATGCTTGCTAAAGTTCCTTCTAAGAAACCAGACCAAAAAATGTTTTGCACTCTTCCCTGGAAGAAAGCTCTTAATCACAGATTCCTTACTAGAAATCCAAAGAATAATGAACGTGTTTCGTTTTGAAAGATAGCTTTTTGTGTACTGTGGCTATATTAAGGTACTGCTGGGGGCCATCAGTGAGACATGCATTATGAGTACTTCAGATACTTCTAGGTATCTATTTAGTACTGTTAGTCTATAATTTGTCTACTTAATTCTTACATAGCACTTTGAAATCATTCCAGGAAGCTTAATGCTAATTAAGAAACTTGTGAGGTACAAAATGAATACCTTTAAAAATGATGAATATTAAGAAGGAGTTTTTTTGTAGGAGGAGATACAGGAATTCAGGAATTTTGAGTCATTTCTAATTCTAAAAATCTTAGCAGCTATGTATTCGATTAAATTTTAGAATTAAAATAGTAGGTGTAACTTTGATGAAATCATTCTAAAGTTTTGCTGTATTAAAAATATGAGCAGTGGATATATAAGTAGTCTGCAGTGGATCCTAAAATCTAATGGTATAATATAATATTCTAATTTTGCTTTTATTAAAGTTTAAGGGGGAAATTTTTGCTATCAGGGATATCTGTGTGGGAATCAACAGTTTATTTTATGTGTGCATATTACCCATTTTCTGTCATAAAATCAGATGTTTATGAGGGATTTCATCTTGTTAAAATATGGTTTGTTGAACATGGAAATTTGGAAGCTTTTATTAGAAAAATATCTTAAGATTAAAGAGGTCTTTCTCAATTAAAATTAAAATTTAAAGCCAAGGTAATTTCACATACCAGCAATTTAAGGGGTCTGTTAAACTTTTAAAGCTATGTCTGTAATTTTTTTCTAAACATCTTATTATAAAAAATTTTGAAATGTATAAAAATGTTGAAATAATTGTACAATGAACACCCATATAAATATCACCTATACTTTCCATCTTATACCTTACTGTATTTGCCCTGTCACCTATTTGTCCCTTTCTCCAGCCTTCTATCAAATGGAAGAACATGTTACTTTTTCATCTTACTTTTTCACACATCTCAGGGTTGCAGACATAAGTATATCTCAGATGGAAACACTTCAACATGCACATTATTAGCCAAAATTCAGTATGTATTTGATTCTTTTTTTAAGGTAAAATTTGCATACAGTGAAATGTGTAAATCTTACATTTATCATTTGATGTATTTTGACAAATGCATACACCTAGATAACTGAAACCCCTATATAGATATAGAACACTACTGTCACCCCAGAAAGTGCTCTTCCCAGTCAATTCCCATAGCCCCTCCCCAGAGACAACCACTGTTCTGATATAATTTCCTCCATAGAGTGATTTTTTTTTTGGTTTTGAAATTTCACATAAATGGAATCATAGGCTTCTTTCACTTAGTGTAATGTTCTTGAGATTCATCCGTGTTGTCCCGTTATCAGTGGTTCATTCCTTTGTGTTGCTGAGTACTATTCCGTTATAGGGATAGACCACAGTTTGCTTATCTGTTCTCTTGCTGATGGACATCTGGGCTGTTTTCTGGGTTTTGGTTATTATGAGCAAAGCTGCTAACATTCTTGTAAACATTGTCTTTGTACAGATAAATATGTTAGGACTGGAATTGCTGGTGTGCCTGTAATTTAAAAATTGAATTTAGCTATTGAAAAAGTTATTTTTAATCATACTTACCACTGGACTATATTTCATTTTTAATTTACACTTTTCCATTTCTGTTTGCCACCATCCTAGGCCAGTTGATCATATTCCATTTCTAGATTATGACAATTTAGCTGGTTCTCTTGCTTCTAGTCACTTCCCCACTTAAATCCATCCAGCACAAGGCTTAAGGTGAAAACTCGACGTTTTGACACTTTACCTCCTTGTTGAAACCTTGCCAGTGGCATGCTATTGCCCACTGTGTAGTTTCAAAAGGCCCTGTAAATATGTCTTCACCTGGCCTTGTTTCTTACCCCTTCTCAACACAAACCCTGTATGCTCCTTCCTGTGTTTGCCTTCACTGTTTTTTTCCTACTGCTCCAGCCTAGAATATTCTTTCCCTTTTCTCCATCTCCCAAAATCTTTATATATAGAGTTCTTAAGGTTTAGCTCAGAATTCCACAACTAGGTTGTGAGCTTTCTGTGGGCAAGGTCCATACCCACTGCTTCTTTTCTATTCCAGTGAATTCCTATTATAGTGCTATGGACATAATAGATGAAAATATAAACTTATGAGACATAATCAACATTTAGTCAGTACTTACTAATTTGATTGTCTTCTACTGATGATTACAAATGAATCTAGTTTTTCAGTGTTTCTTTCTAATGCCCAGTTAGTAGGTTTTTTATTTAAACAACTATTGGATACAATAGTTTAAAATTTTTATTTTCAAGTTACAATGGTATAGTCTCAAACTCTATAAAATATGGATAAAAATTAGAGAAATGTATTCCATGCATTACAGTTATGTTGTAGGAAAACCACGACTATGAATACCTTTAGGGAATGACTCATTTATAAGTGATAGGTGTGCATTCCGAACAGTGGAGGGCTTCCTGTCAGCCCTTTCCATTTCATGTTTAATGGAATGCTCTAACATGTACTTCATTTGTTACACAGCTGTCCTCCTGAAAACAATGTGCTGCGTTGTCGCTGCAGATGCTCATAGAAATGGTGTGAGGCTTGGGGTTCAGTGACTTAGTTTTGCTCCAATACAGTGAATGCTGCTCCCTTCCTGCCACCCTCCTCCCCCGTTACTTGTTGTCTATGTTCACTGTGAACCCCCTGCAGTCCCTGGGGCTACAGTTTTGAGATACAGGTGACTGACTGACTGCGTGCTTCCTTGGAGAGCTGAGCTTCTGTCTTCAGTCTCTTGGACTTGAGCTCTTTTCTCAGTTGTCAGTGATTTGCAGCTCTGTACCCAAAACACTGTAACTTCTGTTGGCATTTCCCCTTGACTGCAGGTCCTATCACAACTCTTTGCCTCATCTCTGCCCTTTCCCCTCTTATACATACATATTTTGGGTTTTTTTTTGCTTCTTTATTATCCTGTCACTTCTTCCAGTCTTTGCATTTTATGGGAAGATGCTCTCCCTTTCCATACCCTGGCCGGCAATAAGAGGACCCCTTCATTTTTGCACATTGAAGTATTCAGAGCATGGGATGCAGTAATCTTGGGGTGTGTTGCCACTTTTCTACCCTTGTCTGTATTGCTGGGTAAAGGTGGGCTCTTTCTGTACTGCCAAACTTGTTTCTTCTGGGCTTGAGGATTTATTATACAATACTGGTGTTGAGGATAATATTATTATTATCATATATTACAATAGTATAAGGATATATTTTGTCCCACAGTTACAATTAAAGCTAGAATATACAATGTGGCATTTAGCAATGGGTTTTAAGTCTGAAATACCATGTGGCACATTGAAGAATGGTTTTTATTTTGGTAATATGGTAGTAGGATTGTGGAGAGTATCATGTGTCATTCTGCTTTGACTTTATATTGTTCACTGTTAAAATAACTAAAGATTGATACATATGTATACAGCCTTAATTAATTTTTCTCCACAGTTTACTGGTAACTCATCTCTGATTTATAGGTCCCAAGGAATCCTGATACTCCAAATCCAGCTGTGGCTCAAAGAGAGGAGCAAAAAAAGATTGATGGAGCTGAACCTCTTACATCAGAAGAGACTGAAGAAAAGGAAAAACTTCTCACACAAGTAAAATATTTTAAGTGGCTGAAGTACATCTAGTCAATGAATAGAAAAAAGAAAATATAAATTACACTTAACCTTTTTATTGTATGAGCTGAGTGCCCTGGTGGGACACACCAACAAAACTCACGGCTGATTTCTAAACAGGCATTTAGACCAAGTATACCTATTTTTTTAATCCCTTTTATAGAATACAGCTTTTTGGAAATAATAGAAAATACAAAAATGCAAAATATAAGTGTCAGTTATGAGTAAGAAGACATGTATTTTATTAATTTTAATAAGGTCAGTTAATCCACATGAGTCCCAATAGACAGTAAATAGTACCATATTTGAAATTTTAAATTTATTTTACTGATTATATGCCTGTCCTCTAAAATTATTATCTTCAAATCCTTTATTTATGGAATAATTTCTTAATGCTCAAAATGCTTTTATCCTCTCTTGAAAAGAACTTTAATATAACAATGAGAGATTTCTGAAACCTCTTATGGTGATCATTGTATAATTAAATGTTAATAGTTATTAAATAGGAAACATTTCCATTTGAACAAAATAGTAATGCTTTCTGGTCATAATTGCTTTAAGGATATTTATGAGTGTCTTACATCCTAAATAATCTGTAGAAGATAAAAAAAACTAGAACATGAAAGACCCTTGCAAAATAAAAAACAAAAATGTGTACTCTATGATACTACCTGAGTGTAAAAGTTGCCAACAAGATTTATTTATGCAGCAAATGCTTTTGAACAATATGCAAAGCACTGTGTTAAGAAATTTTCCACATTAATTATTGAAAGATAGTTTTTATATTTATATCTTATTTATTACACAGGTCTTTTTTTGTTATAACGTAATTTTATTGAGTGAATTTTTTGCAAATTACACTCACAAGCTTTTGAGCCAAAAGCCTTTAAGTCATGAAGTTTCATTTGAAAACATAATTGCAGTTGGCTGAATATTAGGACTTACTACAGAATAAAATAAAACATTTATATTCATGTTTTATTTTCAAAATTTATTTCCCGAACACAAAAATAAAATTACGGTCTTAGAATACTATGTGACTTGCAGTATATTGTGAATGTTCAATATATTGTGAATATACAGTCTCAACTGAGGACTTATTTTAACTTAGAAGTAAAGTCCGTTTTGTCTGCCCCTCCTAGTACATGAATTCATCTTTAGTCATCTTTCTCTGCTGCCCTAAATAATCTTTTTAAAAATCATAGAAGTACAAAGGAACAAAATGTGGGGTCATCTGAAATCTCTCATCAACAAATGACAAAGAATAGAGTTTTGCACTGTCGAGGATATCACATTTATGTGGGTTAGGCAATGAGGAGTAGAAAATGGATTTTTGGTCTTGGGACCTCACAGACTTGCTAGTAATTCCAAAGAGATTTAAAACATTGCTTGGTTAAACTGTTCTATCTTTTGGTAAAGAAATTGAGTGGGCCCAGTAACATTCTGCTTATGAACACAGTTTTGAACAAACTATTTATTCACAGTAGCTTAGGATGATATAAAGAGCTACAATATTTATTCTGTATTTTTTTCCTTTTTTTTTTGATTTAATGTGTCTACTTTGCTTTCTTAATTTACATGGGAACAGATCTATGGAAAAAACCATTAAAGTACTGGAATATCAGGGCTTCAACATTTATATCAGCATTTTTATTTTAATAAATTTGTATTTTAATGTAGGTGTCTATAAAATATGGAATTAAAAACTACACAGTATCTTGGAACTATAAATTAGTTTTTAGTACTTGGAGAGAAGTACATTCTCTTCATGATAGAAAAGCAGTTATTTTTATAACAACAGTCAACTTTAGATTTCAACATATAAAAAAGGAGGAACATTTTAAGTCTCTTAAAGTGTTTTTACTGTACCATTTTACAGAGGTAAAGAAAACATTAATTGATTTGTTAATTTAACCTCTATTGATGATGCTTAATTTTTTGTTCACAGGGATTCACAAACTGGACTAAACGAGATTTTAACCAGTTTATTAAAGCTAATGAGAAGTATGGAAGAGATGATATTGATGATATTGCTAGGGAGGTGGAGGGCAAATCCCCTGAGGAGGTCATGGAGTATTCAGGTTTGTATATAACTTCAAACATGGTGTTTAATTGTAACCTTATCCATTTTTTTAGTGTCGATTTAATTGCACTGGTGTTGAGAGATCTTTTAAACTTTTATGAATAAAGTGTAGGTACAAGTATGAAATATAATTGTATTTCTACAAAAAGATTATAAGATTTATCAAAACAAGCTGACTGCTGTTGTCCCTCGTAGTTAGCTAATAGAGTTAAGTAAAGCCCCAATGAAACAAAGGTTGCTCTTGGATAAGCATTGACAAAATAAGTTTCCCACTTTCCCATCCCTGGAATTTCATCATCTTCTGGGCAAGTCAAGCCTGAAGCATCCAGCAGTGATTGAATATATCTTTCTAGGTTATCCTTTAAGTAGAGAATTCCAGTCCAGCCCTTTTAGGTCCTCAAATACCCCCAGAGTTCTGATCAACTCCAGGCAAGCTGGAATAGATCTATAAAGACTGCTGGAATAAATCTGTTGATAGGTCCTAGAATGATCTACGTCTTTTCCCTCAGTTGTGTCTTTCGTCTTGACCAGAACTAGATTAACTTCAGAAGCATACAGAGCTAATATTAATTCCTATGCCACAGCACATCCAACCTCAGGCTCCTGAAAAGAAATCTCATTAAAAACATAATTATGTCTAGCCAGTTTTCTGTATGTATGTAGAACAGGAAGTTTCTAGCTTCTAAATAGGTTGAGCTCTTAAATTTAGTATGAATATCAGCTGTTTAGAATCTAGAGCATTTTTCCTTGTAGACAAAATATTAACAAAGTAGGTGTAGGTTTCTCTGCTAGCCTTCCTAAACCTTTTTTAGCTTAACAATTGAAATTCTTTGTTTTTGTAATGAAAAGTAGTAGGAAACATTACAATTTTTAGGAGAGCAAAGCAGAGGCTTTATTTAGAGAGAAAACGAGAGGACAGAGCTCCTGGCTCACGCCTGGAGGGGACAAGAGAGCCCCCTAAGAACAGCTTTTAACTTATCTATACTGCTAGTGGTTGAAGAAATCCAGGTTTAATTAGAGAATAGGTACTTTTTTTTTGTTTGGAAATCTGAAAGGGCCTTCTGATAATTTACCAGGGACTTCAGAGGTTGATTATGTCACATTTATTATTTCGTATTAACACCAAGTTTATGAATTTCCTTTTCCTTGGTACCAGCATAACATTGTATTACTCTTAAGCTTTACCACCTAAGTTTAGGGTATTTGGGGGCTTAGGGAAGTGAAAAATAGATTAGAGAGAGAAATTTTAGTACCAAGAGCTGAATGAAAACAGTATAAAAGGATACGTGCAGGGAGATTTTCTGGGGTAGGATTTTCTTCAAAATAATATCAGTGTGTATGAAGTTGCAAGAAAAGAAATGATTCAAGAAGGTACCATGTCAGATGGTCCCTAAGATTTGACACCAGGCCTGATGGCATGGCTAACTCAGGACAGCTTAGCTATGTCGCAGGGTGGGGATTGGAAAGGTTTGTGTAGTGGTTGCAATAAAAGAAGAAATGTGTACAATTGGCTATTCATGAGTATCTGTACATAGCAGACATTTAAATACGTGTTGAATGAATAAGTGACAGAATAAATAAATGATCACAGGTATGAGACTGTAGAGTATGTCACTGAAAGGCCCTTCACTCACAAGTCATAAGATGTGACATATTAATACAACCAGATTATTTAGCTCATTTATAAAATTTGGGTGGCTTGGTGTTTTGTTTTATTTTGTTTTGAGCAAAGTCTATTCCAAGTAAGTTTAAAACATAAGCTATAGGGCATTGGAGATACTGGTTAGATTAGTGAGTGGTTCCCAAAGCAAAAAGAAGTTTCAGTAGGAATTGCTGCTTCATATGAAGTTTGAACAACCTGTTGAAAATGGTTTCGTTCCTTAAATGGTTTCATTTATATGGCTGTATTGTCTCCTGTTTCACTTTATGTGTTCGATCCCTTTTATATGTTTGAACAAAAGCATAGCTGAAATCAGCACTTTAAGTATCTTTGAAATTCCAGTCATTTGGGGAGGGCAATTAAAAATTCCGTATTTCATGAAAGGAAAATCACTAACCTAAAACCTTCTTGTTGAGGTTTTATTTTAAATGAAAAGTTAGAGGTATTTAATAATTGAACATATGTACACACAGATGAATCTGAGTCTTAATTTTAAACAGTATAAGTTCACTGTATCCTTACCTATTTTTTATTCTGCAGTTCTTGGATTCATTTGCTTAAGGTGATAATAGTACATTTATTGTGAAGTAATACCTCTTTTTTTCAGCTGTATTTTGGGAACGTTGCAATGAATTACAGGACATTGAGAAAATTATGGCTCAAATTGAACGTGGAGAAGCAAGAATTAAGCGAAGGATCAGTATCAAGAAGGCCCTGGATGCCAAAGTACTGTATTTCATAATTGTCAAATTATTATTAGATTGTTTTCATTGATAATGGTGATTAGCTTTGGCTCACTATTATTGCACGTTTAGTTAAAAGCAGTATTTTGATTAAATCCATAGATTGCAAGATACAGGGCTCCATTTCATCAGTTGCGTATTCAGTATGGAACCAGCAAAGGAAAGAACTATACTGAGGAAGAAGACAGATTCTTGATTTGTATGTTACACAAAATGGGCTTTGATAGAGAAAACGTGTATGAAGAATTAAGACAGTGTGTACGGAATGCTCCTCAGTTTAGATTTGACTGGTTTATCAAGTCCAGAACTGCCATGGTATGTATCCCTTTCTCACTTATTTCCTCAAACTTTATTTTGAAAGATTTCCAGTATCATCACATATTCCTCACTTAGATTCTCTAATTGTTAACATTTTACCACATTGGTTTTCTCCCCCATCCATATTTGTGTATCTATACTTATACATACATACATAGAATTTAGATATACATGTAGAATCTATATTTTATATTCAGAAACACAAAAACATATCTATATTCAGAAATACCTATCTGTATTTCATATTCATACATATACATACCTACATTTCTGAACCACTTGAGCAAAAGTTGCAGACACTGAGTGTTTGCCTCTAAATACTTCAGCACTCATCTCCTAAAAATGAGGACACAGTTCATGTACATAGGTGCAGCATTTTCCAGTTGTCCCAAAAGTCTCAAGAGCTGTTTTTTTTTTAACTGATGATCTGTAGTCAAGATTCACATATAGCATTTGGTTGTCGAGTCTTTTTAGTCTCTTCAGTCTACAACTTTTTGTTTCACACAGTGACTTTTTTAAGGTACCCAGGCTCATTGTTTTATAGAATGTCCCACATTTGTGTCATTGTTTGCTCATTTTTATTTTGGCAAGAATGCGACATAAGTGATCACTTGTACTTCTTATATTGTGTCACATTAGGAGGCACATTATGTCAGGTTGTCACACTCTTGGTGATGCCAAGTTTTATCACTTGATTAATAGGGTGACCACCAGAGTGCTCCATTTTAAAGGTTCCCCTTTGTAATTAGGCAGGTGATACTTAAGATTGTGTGAAGAACTTAAGGATTTATTTTCAAAGAGAAGGAATTGTTGCCTAAGTTAAGTCTTTATAAGAATATTCTGAGATAGAATAATTAAGTAGAAGAGATTTTATTGTAGCTTCACACAATTTACTCTGTTCCTTTCTAACATAAATTGTGTTCCTGTTAAATTCTCACACTGCTTAGAAGTGTTTGTGATGATATTAACCATTTTTTCAAATGCAACACATTTTTAGTACTGGCATCATTAGTTTTCTGTCAGCTGAGGTAGCTAGAACAAAATAGATTTATACAGCCTAAATATTAAAAGTAACCAGAAACTAACAATCCAAACTTAAGATGATTTTCTTAAGTAGTTTCTATCATAAATGCTTTCTTGGCCAAAGGTCCACAGGGATGCAAAAGAAATGCTTACTATTTTGTTTGACTCATTTTATATTTTACTTCAAGTGGAACAAAAAGAAAGGAAAATTCTGTGTTGCTATATTAAAGACTCTAATTTTGGCAGATGCTTTTATGAGATATTTCTTAAAACTTTTAACACAAATTTAGAGTGTTCTTGGATTGTTACTGGAATGTGCCTATCAAGTTTATGCTGGGAGATACAGCAAATACTTTGGATCAAACTAGGACCCAAAAGGAACTGGAGAAATTGGAATGATGGATTCGTAGAATCTCACAACATGACCTTTAAGATGGATGAATGTGAAGTGCTATAATTATACAAAAGAATATGAAGAGGTGTACATGTTAATAAGGTACAGTGTAGAGAAATGAGAAAAAAATAAAAAAAAATCTGTAGCATGAAGGACTGAGGTTGGATATAGGGAAGAGTTGTTTGACGGTTTTGGGGATCATTTAAATAGATTATTGAAGATCAGTGTAAAATAGCTTTTCTGTTAGCTTTGAAAATGAGATTCTATTTTGACTGAAGACTTTGGAAATGAGTTAGTTGGTGGAAGGTGCCATGTTTAGCAGAGAACTCCCTTCAAAGCCATGCATTTCAAATTTTAGCCATTTGTGGTTTTATGTGTGTAATAATGGAGAACAGCATAAACAGCTTGTAAAAGACAAATTCCTACCTGCATTTGTCAGTGAATCATGTTTTAGATCACATATGCCCCTTTTATGTGATGGAACATTTCTTGAATTTTGAGTATTATTTCACTTTCTGGAGTCATTAAACTAAAGTAGTAGGATGAAACAGATTCGAAAGTGCAAGGAAAATCTCACGTTATTTCTAATATGAACATAACTACAGAATTATATAACCTTGTTTCATTTTCCAAGGAAAAAACCCAGTATATTATTGACAACCACTAGATGTCTCTGAACTCCTTGTAAAGAACCTTTTTTTTTCTCTTCCATCTTCTTTCTACAAAACATTTACCTCTTTCTTTACCAAGAGATTTCAGTCTCCAATGTATATTTTCTAAAGAGCAGATATTAATTATATATAGGTGATTGTAAAAGGAAACCTTTATTTTGTCTGTTAAAAATGAAGACACCTCTGTCCTTAATTTCCTTCTGGAAGGTGGAATTTATAATTAAAAAATTCCAAAGAATCTTTAAAAACATAGCTTATTTCATATTTAAATATTTTAATCCAAAATTTTTTGTCAACTTTTCTATCATACTGTTTTTATTTCCCTCCTAGTTAATGGATAATTTCTATATGTAGAGCGTATGTAATATATTTTAAAATATGCATATATTTGGTCATCTTCTTGGAATATTTCATAATAATTATCAATCATAAGGGAATTAAAGAAATGGATTATTAATATTCCTAGATGCTCTCTTTGCCCCCTTATTTTAAATGATTGTTCTTGTAGAGTGAATCACATTTACAATCTAGGAAGAGAAACTTCCCCCTTGAAAGAGGCATTTGTGATTTCCAAAATTAAAATAATTTGTTTCATTGAAAAATTACATATTAGAAATACAGAGGGTATAGTTTTTTTTTTTGAGAGGGCATCTCTCATATTTATTGATCAAATGGTTGTTAACAACAATAAAATTCAGTATAGAGGGGTCAATGCTCAATGTACAATCATTAATCCATCTCAAACCTAATTCTCGTCAGTCTCCAATCTTCTGAAGCATAACGAACAAGTTCTTACATGGTGAACGAATTCTTACATAGTGAATAAATTCTTACATGGTGAACAGTACAAGGGCATTCATCACAGAAACTTTCGGTTTTGATCATGCAATATGACCTATAAACCATCAGGTCAAATATGAATATTCATTTGATTTTTGTACTTGATTTATATGTTGATCCCACATTTCTCCTATTATTATTATTATTTTTATTTTTAATAAAATGCTGAAGTGGTAGGTAGATGCAAGATAAAGGTAGAAAACATAGTTTAGTGCTGTAAGAAGGCAAATGTAGATGATCAGATGATCAGGTGTGTGCCTATGGACTAAGTATTAATCCAGGCTAGACAAGGGCAGCAAGACATCCACGGATGCAGAAGATTTCTCTCAAAGCAGGAGGGATGAGGTTCTGAGCCTCACCTCTGTTGATCCCCAATCTCTCACCTGATGGCCCCCCTGCGACTGTGCCTGTCTTAGGTTGTTCCTCCCTTGAGGAATCTTACAGAGGGTATAGTTTTAATTCATTATGTGAGTGTGTTCAGATTAAAATCTCATTAATTATTAAACCTAACCTACTAATGAAGCTATCTTTTAAAAACATAACCTTGCTTAAAGATGATTGTTCTTTCCCAGAGACACCAGTAAATAGTGTGTAATACTTAGGAAGAAAGTAGAAACCTTGGTACTTGTATTTTATTCAGAGATCTAAAACTACCGAATTCATGGCTTCTGACTTAACTAACAGTCTTGAAGTGCTTAAAGGCATGAACCTCTACTTCTAAATATGCCTGACTTTGAAAGCCTTCAGCTAAAGTATGAAGATTTCTTTGAGGCTCTTCTCCATTTAAAAATGCTGGCTATACAAAAGAGAAAATGAATTTTAGTTCCATTTCTCTGTGCTAAGAAGATTGTGATTTCTTTCTGGGCAAACTTGTTTGGTCTTTTAAGTAACTAATCAGTCTCTATTGAACTACATAAACAAGTAGGAAGGATATGATCAATTTAGATTTTAAGCTCAGAGCATATGAATAAACCTACCATTTTCCTTCTAAGAAAAATATCTTGCAAAGGCGTCTTAGTCTTAGGATATTCAAAAACTATCAGAATTCAAAGGACCTTTACCAAATGACTATAAGAGAAAATGATAATACTCTGTATTTATGTAGTACATTTTATAGAATGCTTGCCAATCCCTTTACCAACATTGGTTCATTAATTTTCTTGCTGTTCCTTTTAGGAAATGAATGTCAGGGTACTATCTTCATTGATGTAGTGACACAGTAACGTGACTGGGAGATTTCAGAAGCGTCTGAGAGATCCAAAAGATCTAGCACATTAGTCAGGTTACTAGAAAGGACATACGAAAAGTACCCAAAGTTTAATCAGTAATTAGTTGGGCTTGCATAGGTCCTTTTAAGTACTTAAAGGGGAGAAAGCAGAATTTAAGTCTCTGAGATAAAAGAACATTTCTTGATATAACCATTTATTGCATCCTTTGCAGGCTTGCTTTGACTTTTAATTTTAGTAAAAAAAAAAAATCTTGCCTTTTTAGCCTCTGGAGAGCTGTTTCCTTTCCTCTCCTAGCCAGCTCCAGAAGCTGTGTGTGCATTGCCTCTGGCCATGTACCTTGCATTGAATCAAAATACTGGTATGGTAATTAGTTATTACAATTTCCCTGCCTTTTATGGTAGTTTAAATCACTTTTTCTGATACCATCTCAGAGAGAATCTCACACTGTTGTATATAATGTAATAGAAATTGCATGTTACTGCCATTTGTTTTCAAATCACAGCTTTATTATGGAGGAAAGTGTTCCTTATTTAAAATTAAAGAAATGATATTCCTCATTAGAATTGTAGAAGAAAAAAAACTTAATTAGAAAATACTGCTGTAGCTTTCTATTAGCTTATTTCCCTTTTTATAGGTTTATCAGTGATAACACATGTTAATTAGGTTATTAGTTCAGCACAGGATATTTTATAAATTATTTGTCCAGTCAGAGGATTTTCTTTATAGATAACTTTTGAAAAATGCAAGCCAAATTCAAAAATTTCCAACTTACTCTTCAGTCACCATAACATTTGTTTGTTGTTTATTCAGCATAGTCTAGGAAATTTCATAAAGAAGGCC